AATGGTCCGATCTCTACCATATTTATAACAGATTTTGTGTTGACAGAATTATTGAGATGTACCAAGTCTGCATGGAATCGGATGTTAATTTCGTGTTTTATGAGCTTCATGGATATTCAAAATTTTGATCCTTTGTGGGGGAGGTACCAGAAGGTGTGAACTGATATATCCCATCTTCACACCAGACCTTGGGTTAATAAAAATATTGGAGTATGTGTGGTTTGAAGACAATCGGACACTTACATCACATGTTATAAGATTTATAAATTTCCAAAATTTTAACACTTTGTGAAGGAGATACTTGATGAAGTGGACCGATATTGTCCATTTTCGCACCTGACCTAAAACTGACGCAAATTTTAGGATTTGCAAAGTTGGAGAAAAATCGGATTATCGTTTCTCTTTCTGTGAAATAAAATATATTTTCTGAAAATCTCGAACTTTTGTGGGGGACCTATTAGAAGGAGTGGGCCGATATTGCCCATCTCCGAACTCGATCTAAGTTTGACAATAATTTTATGATGTACCAAGTTTGGAACAAATCGAATACTACCTTCAAGAGTTATCGTGCGCACCCGTTAGACAGAGAGATAAACAGATAGACGGACAGACATCGCTGGACCGACTCCAAATTCCTTTAAACGAATTTGGTCCAAAGAGACCAACGGTCGATGAGGTACGTTTTGGCCGTATCAAATGATATATACCCTCTCTCGCCATTTGGCTGAGGGTATAATCAAATGATGTATACCCTCTCTAGCCATTTGGCTGAGGGTATAATTAAATCTTAAAATTTTTTTAAAAATTACTGTTTTTTCAAAAAAGTTCTCCTCTGACCCATCCAGTTTCTTTTGTAAAAACATCCCAAAAAATATTCACTTTCATTATTTAAATCTATTTAATTTAGGGCTCATCAAATTTCATTGCCAATAAATGGCAGCAGTTTCCCGAAATGTTCATCCCTTCCCTCCCTTCTCCTCTCCCATTTTCTCATTCGTTATCTTATTACAAAAAATTCATTATAGTTTCCATAATAAAATGTCATTTTCAATTCATGCAAAACAAATTGCTTTCTGATTGAAAAACAAGTCCATAGCCTCCATAGCCAAGCTCTTGAAATGCTGCCTCCGCCATGCATTAGGCCTATTTCACATTCCATGCCATTCCATTCACATCACACAATTCCAACCAAGGACAAGCGACAATTCAATTTGGATAGGAGCCAATTTGGATTGGTCTTGAATTAATGTTGTGTTAAAATATTTATATAAGTGTGTTTAATGATTATTCAATCTCTCGTTAACTCCCACCCAACTGCCCTCTCTTGCGCTCTCAGAGACAAACACATACACACTTGGCTGCGTGTGGCAAATTCTACAAAACCAATTATCCTCAAGCAATTTAGGGGAATGAGAGAGAATCTCTGTTTGTACCATGAACTTCAAATACAAGAGATTTTACTTGTCAACCGTTATTGGCAGAGAGGGAGAGAGAGAGTGGGGGGACATGCTAATAAGCTGTGCGTGTCACCAAGAAATTCAAACAAAACGAAACACAACTAGTTTTTCTTAAAAGTCGTTGACTTTCTTGGACCTCCATGCCTGCCTAACTACCTTCCTGGCGAAGTTTCTTCTAATTTATGGTAATACCATTTGATGGCATGTATTATTTGTTCGAACAACAAATATGTTTATGGTTATTATAAGGCCATTAATGTAAATAACCGGAACAATTTTCTTGTTATTTTTGGCCAACTATAAAATAAAACAAATTCTCACATTTGCCTTTTCCTGCCTCTCTATCCCTCTCTCTAGTTGTTTGTTGTTAGTTGTAGTCATAACCAACAAAGTTCCGTTTTTGTATTTAAATAGGCTTTAGTTGTGTGAGTGTGTGTGTGTGTGAAGTATGTGTTTTATTGGTGTATACCAGTACTTAAATCCCATAAGCAATTACCATAACCTATTCCGAAACTTTAATTCCTTCTTTTGTCGTGTGAGCATTGGGTATTTAATGGAACCTATTTCGAGATTGTGGAGAAATTTGAGCAAACAGATTACACATTTTATATAAGCTGAGTCATCGGAGAATGTAGTTAAAAAATATTGAGATATACGAAGTCTGAATGGAATTGGATGTTAATTTCCCGTTTTATGAGCTTCATGGTTATTCAAAAAGAGTGGACCGATATATCCCATCTTCACAGAAGATCTTGGGTAAATTAAAATATTGTGATGTGCCGAATATGAAGAGAAGCGGATGCTTATTTCGGATTTTATGATCGTTTTGGTTATTCAAAACTTTGGCCCTCTGTGGGGGAGGTACCAGAAGTGGTAGACCGATATATTCCATCTTCATACCAGACCTTGGTTTAGTAAAAATATTGTGCTGTGTGTAATTTGAAGAGAACAGGATGCTTATTTCGGATTTTATGATCGTTTTGGTTATTCCAAATTTTGACCCTTTGTGTGGGAGGTACCCGAAGGAATGGTCCGATCTCTACCATCTTTATAAGAGATCTTGTGCTGAGGGAAATATTGAGATATGCCAAGTCTGAATGGAATCAAATGTTAATTTCGGGTTTTATGAGCTTCAGGAATATTCAAAAGTTTGACCCTTTGTGGGGGAGGTACCAGAAGAAGTGCACCGATACATTCTATCTTCACAGCAGATCTAGTGTTGGTAGAAATAATGGGATGTGTGAAATATAAAGAGAAGGGGATACTTATATCGGATTTTATGATCGTTTTGGTTATTCCAAATTTTGACCCTTTGTGGGGGAGGTACCCGAAGGAATGGTCCGATCTTTGCCATTTTTTTAACAAATCTTGTGTTGATAGAAATATTGTGATGTACCAGGTCTGAATGGAATCGGATGTTAATTTCGCTTTTCATGAGCTTCTTGAATATTCTAAATTCTGACCCTTTGTGGGGGAGCTACCAAAAGAGGTAAACCGATTTAGCCTATCTTCACACCAGACCTTGGTTTAATAAAAATATTCTCATGTGCGTAATTTGAAGACAATCGGACGCTTACCTCACATTTAATAAGAGCTGTAATTATTCAAAATTTTGAACCTTTGTGGGGGAGGTACTTGATGGAGTGAACCGATATTGCCCATTTTCGCACCTGACTTAGCATTGATGTAAATAATGGGACATACAAAATTGGAGCAAAATCGGATTACCCCTTCTCTATCTGTGCAGTAAATAGTTTTCTTTGAAAATGTTGACATTTTGTGGGGAAGGTGCCAGAAGGAGTGGACCGATATTTCCCATTTCCGAACTCGATCTAAGTTTGACAATAATATTACGATATACCAAGTTTGAATCAAATCGTGTATTCCCTTCGAGAGTTATCGTGCGCACCAACCAGCCTGACAGACAGACAGACGGACGGACTTCGCTAGATCGACATCGGATTTGGTCCAAAGAGACCTAGGGTCTAAAACCATTATTTCGATGAGGCACGTTTTGGCCGTATCAAAGGATATTTACCCTCCCTAGCCATATGGCTGAGGGTATAAAAGTCGCTATCCTTAGAAAAATGGCTAAAAACATCCATTCATATCTCACATAGAATCTTCCTTTCAAATCCATGTTAAAGAAATTTCTCAACATAATTTGCATTTTCAGCTCAACTAGCCGTTGGAAATATTTCAATTGATGGCCCGGTCATCTCCTTCCCCCTCCCCTTTGCCTCTTTTATATTCATAAATTAATAAATTGAACTAATCACTCAAAAAGGCCACCAAAGACCCTAATTACTCAACCAAGGATTAAGGAATGAAAGTTATTTTACAAAAAAGGACAAAAACTTATAACGGCAAAGTCTAATGTCCTGTAATGGCAAGTTAACTACAAATAGGCGCGCTCACAGCGGATATTAATCATTTCCGGTTACCGGTAACCAAAAAAAGAAATACTGCTACTTAAGTGTTTTAAATGACTTACAAAAGGGCCAGAGGGAAAAACTAATTTGAAAAACAAAAAACACAACAAAACTGTTGCATGTTACAACAAAATGTAAGGGAAATTTTCTATCCAAAAAAAAAAAAAAAAAAAAAAAAAAAAACAAAAACAAGAAATATTTTACAGCAATAAAAAGAAAAGCACCTTATGATAACCCAGTGAACAAATGCATTTAAGTTTAATTCAATATTTGATAAAATGAGGTTAGGGTCTGGACGAATAAGGTATTGAATATCACAAAATGTAAATTTTTAGAAATTACAATTTTCGCTCATGAGAGAACTTAGGGTATCTCAGAGAATATTTTTTTTTCCTCAAATTCTTGCATAAAAATAATGTCTCTCACAATAGTTAAAAAATATATTCCCATCCTAAGAACAAGATTTTAATGTTAATTTTTTTCAAATGCAAATTTTTGGCTTCCGTGCAGTTCTGGAACAGATCATATGTGTGATAGTCCTTGAAAAACTCACATAAAATTCCCCATCACGGAGAGGTTATATAATTCCCTCAAAAAAAAAGAGTATCATTCGATTCAAATCTTGTCACTGGTCCTCTTTTAGGAAACCAGTCAATTAAATAATTTTTATTACAAAATGTCAGATTTTTTCAACAAAAATCTTCACTGGGAATTTTTTTGGGGCAGACCAACTGCTAAACTGTTCAAATGAACTTGTTCTACACTTACCCACACAAAACACACACACACACCCACACCATGCATACAGCCCTCCAACATTACAGAAATTCCTACATACATATATCGTTTACACCAAACTTAGCCACCTCAGACCTGGGTCTCGCCACAAAAATTGAGACATTCATCAAAGTCAGAAGAGCCCAAAAAACCAACGACCAACAGCCATTCATTGATTGCATCCATTTGTTGTTGCTTAACGAAATCTCAAAATCTTTGATACCTCCCCAAAACAAACTACAACAACAACAAATAAAAACCCAAACACAATAAATTCAATAAAACACAAATAACAAAAAAAAAACAACCCAAAATGAATTTAATGTTTCGCAAGAATTTTCGTGAGGGTGCCAGCGGCAAGAGCGGTGGTGGCGGTAGCAAATTACAAACGAAAGCAAATCGTACTAAACGCTCGCGTGACATGGGTCTCACATCGCAGTCCGACGACATACACTACAGGACACATCTGTTTTTCTCACCGAATCGGCCGGGTTATGATGTGGGCGAAGGTAGGCGCTCACCCGAAAACCAAACAAAAAACAAAATCACTCACTCACTCAGTCAGCCATTCATTCATTTACACCAACAACAAATAAATGCCAAGAACAGTTAATGAAAATTAAAGGCATATCATACACACACACTCATACATTTGATGTCTGTCTTTCATTACAAATAAATCACAAACACACTCACACATACCAAATGAATCTCTTCATAAATAACTAAAATAAATACTACTCGCTTTGAGAGGAAAGTGGTCATTGGGAATGGGTTACTAATAGAGTCACTAAGTTACTTTTTTCAAGGAAATCGAATAAAATGGACATTTAGAGAGGAATTAATTCGAGTTTTGGTTGCAGATGTTGAACTTAAACCATAGTGGAGTTTCAAATAAAAATTGTCGAAAAAAAAACTTTGGAAAAAATTTAAAATTCTAAGATGGTGGACTTTTTGCTCATAAGGTGAAAGTACATAAAAGGCTTTAAGTCATAGGCTGGCTTCTTCGTAGAGAAACAAAGGAGCTTTAGGTTGACTTAGTTCGATTTTGGTCCTACGCTCCTTTGTTCTTTTTCGAAGAAGATCACGAAACCAGAAAATAAAGTCTAAAAGTCGGTCGGATGATATATGGGAGCTGTAGCTATATCTGAACCGATTTTCACCAAATTTGACATACCTGTTTCTAGGCTCAATTTGGTCGTAAGTGCCAAATTCCATCCCATTTGGGGTAATATTACAAGTTTGGTGCACAATGAAAGGCAAATCGGACGAAGATATGTATGGGAGCTATATCCAAATCTGAACCGATCTCGATAAAATATGGCAAAGGTATTTCTGAGCTATATATGATACACTTCCCCGAATATCGTTGTTACGGAGTACATATTACGGCTGTGGAGAACAAATATATCGGAGGAACATTACATATGGGAGCTATAGCTATATCTGAACCGATTTTCACCAAAGTTGACATACTCGTTTCTAGACTCATTTTGGTCGTAAGTGCCAAATTCCATGCCATTTGGACTAATATTACAAGTTTGGTGCGCAATAATATGTAAATCGGATGAAGATATATATATGAGAGCTTTATCCAAATCTGAACCGATCTCGATAAAATTTGGCAAAGGTATTTCCGAGCTGTATTTGACATATTTCCCCCAATATTATTGTTACAGAGTGCATATTACGGCTGCGGAGGACAAAAAAAAACAAATCGGATTAACAATATGTATGGGAGCTATAGCTATATCTGAACCGATTTTCACCAAATTTGAGATTCTTGTTTCTAGGCTCAATTTGGTCGTTAGTGCCAAATTCCATACCATTTGGGCTTATGTTATAATTTTGGTGTACAATTAAAAGCAAATCGGACGAAGATATATGTCGGAGCTATATCCAAATCTGAACCGATCTCGATAAATTATGGCAAAGGTATTTCTGAGCTATACATGATACACTTCCCCGAATATCGTTGTTACGGAGTGCATATAACGGAGGACAAAAATAACAAATCGGATGAGGAATATATATGGAAGCTATATCCAATTCTGAACCGATTTTCACCAAATTTGACACACTTTTTTCTAGGCTCAATTTGGTTGCAAGTGCCAAATTTCATCCCATTTGGTTTTATATTACACGTTCGGTGCACAATAAAAGGCAAATCGGACGAAGATATATATATGGGAGCTATATCCAACTCTGAACCGGTCTCGATAAAATTTGGCAGAGGTATTTCTGGGCTATATATGATATACTTCCCCGAATATCGTTGTTACGGAGTGCATATAACGGCTGCGGAGGACAAAAATAACAAATCGGAAGAAAAATATATATGGGAGCTATAGCTATATCTGAACCGATTTTCAAATTTTGAGATTCTTGTTTCTAGACTCATTTTGGTCGTAAGTGCCAAATTCCATCCCATTTGAGCTAATATTACAAGTTTGGTGCACAATGAAAGGCAAATCGGACGAAGATATATATATATATATATATGGAAGCTATATCCAAATCTGAACCGATCTCGATAAAATTTGGCAGAGGTATTACTGGGCTATATATGATGTATTTCCCCGAATCTCGTTGTTACGGAGTGCATATAACGGCTGCGGAGGACAAAAATAACAAATCGGATAAAAAATATATATGGGAACTATATCCAAATCTGAACCGATCTCGATAAAATTTGGCAAAGGTATTTCTGAGCTCTATTTGGTATATTTGCCCGAATATCGTTGTTACAGAGTGCATATAACGGCTTCGGAGGACAAAAATAACAAATCGGATGAAAAATATATATGGGAGCTATAGCTATATCTGAACCGATTTTCACCAAATTTGACACACTTTTTTCTAGGCTCAATTTGGTCGCATGTGCCAAATTTCATCCCATTTGGGTTTATATTACACGTTCGGTGCACAATAAAAGGCAAATCGGACGAAGATATATATGGGAGCTATATCCAAAACTAAACCGATCTCGATAAAATTTGGCAAAGATATTTCTGAGCTCTATTTGGTATATTTCCCCGAATATCGTTGTTAAAGAGTGCATATTAGGGCTGCGGAGGACAAAAATAACAAATCGGATTAACAATATGTATGGGAGCTATAGCTATATCTGAACCGATTTTCACCAAATTTGACACACTTTTTTCTAGGCTCAATTTGGTCGCATGTGCCAAATTTCATTCCATTTGGGTTTATATTACACGTTCGGTGCACAATAAAAGGCAAATCGGACGAAGATATATATGGGAGCTATATCCAAAACTAAACCGATCTCGATAAAATTTGGCAAAGATATTTCTGAGCTCTATTTGGTATATTTCCCCGAATATCGTTGTTAAAGAGTGCATATTAGGGCTGCGGAGGACAAAAATAACAAATCGGATTAAAAATATGTATGGGAGCTATAGCTATATCTGAACCGATTTTCACCAAATTTGACACACTTTTTTCTAGGCTCAATTTGGTCGCAAGTGCCAAATTTCATCCCATTTGAGCCGATATTACATGTTCGGTGCACAAAAAATGGCAAACCGGACGAAGATATATATGGGAGCTATATTCAAATCTGAACCGATCTTGATAATATTTGGGACATATATTTCTGTGCTGTATTTAATATATTTCTCCAAATATCGTTGTTATAGAGTGCATATTACGGTTGCGGAGGACAAAAATAACAAATCGGATTAACAATATATATGGGAGCTATAGCTATATCTGAACCGATTTTCACCAAATTTGGCGTACCTGTTTCTCGACTCAATTTGGTCGTAAGTGCTAAATTCCATCCCATTTAGGCTAATATTACACGTTTGGTGCATCGAAAAGACGGAACAAGTTCCTCTCTCTTCCACAAATTTTTGAAAATTTTCAAAAAAAGATTCCTCAGAATCCATTTATTTTAGGTATATGGTGCCTTTGGCAATATTGCAGATAAAAATACAAGGAAAATTTTTGTGGAAAATTTTAGAGCTCAAACCACTCGACAAAGGGGTCTTTTTGGTCCCTTGTTTAAAAGAGAGTTAAAAACTCCCTTTAAAAGGGATCATAGCAAGTCAAAATATTCTACAAAATGATTTGTCATAAAATTCTGCTATAGGTCCTAGAATACGTCATGGGTCTAAAATTTATCCGAACGCCAGGAATTCATAATTATTAAAAACACATTTTAGGGTTAAATCAGTAGTTTGTGTGAGTTTGTGCAGAAATCTCCAACAAAACATCATTTTAGAAGGGTGAAGACAAGGACAAAAATATTCTTCATCAAATTTTACTATAAGTCACCAGAGAAAAGAAATCTCTATTTCGTAAAGTTGACGTCTTATACCGAGGGTATTCCAAAAAAGTAGATCGATATAACCCATTTCCTGTACCAATGTTTCAATTCCTTTTTCTCAGCAATTTAGTGAAACATAGAACTTCAACTTCATCCCACTAGTTCCACTTCCAAGCGGGTAGTACATTGTGTAATATACATATGTGTAATTTCAATAACCGGCAATAACAATAACTACAACTTACTCTGTCACGCAAATGCAAACATTCACACACACACACAGACACCCATGTGCATACACTGTCAAGAGCTAAGCAAACTAAAACTTTACTCAACAACTAACACTAATAAAATATTGAACTACAACACTAATCTCTGTAAACAGACATATGTAGACGGACATAACTGGCAGCACCAACGTACATAGATATACATATGAACTTTAATTGATATATTGATATTGAATAAAACAATAGGATAGGTTAGGATAGTTCATTTATAATTAAACAAATGAATGGTGGTCCCTGAAAAAATAGTTTTTGAAAAGCCAATGACTTTCATAGGCCTTTCAAAAATATTTAAAACCCGAGATTGAAGATAGTCCTTGGAAAATATTTTCGCTAGTTTTCCTTAAAAGAATATTTTTAAAAAATTCACCCTTTCTTGAAAAAAATGTACATTTTTTTAAAAATTCACGATATCTTGATAAAGATGTGAAAACCCTACTAAACCGTTTTCTTAAATCAACGGATCTGATAACAAAATTCAAAGACATAATTTCTGTGGATTTAAAAAATTATTTTTTCCTAGGATTTTAGGAACCTTTGATTTTTAAAAAATATTTTTCAAGGATTATTAGAGTTAGGGATTGCAACTGCTGTCATTTCTAAGCCACTCTTCGGACAGCTGTTATTATTTAATTCCACTGACAGCTCATGATATTGTTTACAAGTGTACAAAAGCATTTTGGTGAGAATCTTCAGAAAAAAATTATTCGTGATGAAATTCAAGCGGGATATGGTGATTTCTTTATATTTGGCTGGAAAACCACAAGTGGCTAAGCCGGGAATGGGACAAAACAACCGCAGAGCAACATTCGGGCAGCGTGTGCGGTTTCATTTTCCCTTTGAAGGCCATAATTCGTGCCAAAGCTGACCAATTCGAACAAATCTAAACTTATTCTAAAATTTGATGCTATTTCCGACATTTTTTGCTTTCATTCAATAAAATTTAAAAAAATGTAAAAATTATCCCGTTTGACTTTGCCGCAGTTTTTTTTTAACTCATCCTGTATATTTTCAAAAATCTACGGTTCCTAAAATCTTTGGAAAAATAATTTTTGAAAATCCATGGAAATTATGTCCTTGAAAATATTTCTTTTGAAAATCTAACTGACTTCGTTAGCTCTTAAAATTTTTATAAAATAATTCTTGAAAAATGTTTCGTTTAATCCTAATCCTAGGGTATGCAAATTTTTGACTCTAGGATATGTAACTTCTTTGAAACAGACCGATGACAAATCCTTAGAAAAAATACTTTTTGAAAATCCATGGAAATTATGTCCTTGAAAATATTTCTTTTGAAAATCTGACTGACTTCGTTGGCTCTTAAACTTTTTATAGAATAATCCTTGAAAAATGTTTCGTTTAATCCTAATCCTAGGGTATGCAAATTTTTGACTCTAGGATATGTAACTTTGAAACGGACCTGTGACTAATCACATAAATAATTTTATTTACACTCCTAATTTTTTAACACCTCATCATTTTTTTTCAAAACCATAACAACAGTTGATAACACTTGAATAATCGTAATAATCTGCGTAGTGTTGATTACAAAATAAAAAATGAACTTCGAAATTTAAATTAATAACTGAAAGGTGTGTGTCCTTGTAAATGGTAATATTTTTGTGTGTGTGTAAATACATATGTATTTTTGTGTGTGTCTCTAATTCTATTTATCTACTGACTAACATCTAAAATTACTAAAATTCTCTTTGAAATAACAAAAAATAAAATTTAGCTTTTTAAAAAAATCAAACAACTTTTTCGCAAACAAGTTATACTTGTCGCTCCATGTAAGTTTGTTGTAATGAACGTCTTGAATAATTCATCACCATTCATAAGACACACATATACACATATATTACACGGAAAAGCATGGAAATTGATTGAAAAATCAAACAAAGTGGAAAAATATTTGAGTAAATTCGAGAAAATGAAAAAAATCCATTCTTGTTTGCATTTTTTCTCAATTTTGTATTTACACTAACACAAAGGCTATGGATCAGGGACAGGCAGAGAGAGTTGCACATTTATGTTCTCACAATGTTTTTACTCTCTGATTACATTGTTTTTAAACGGCATTCGTTGTGAGAGTGGAGAAAATTATGCTCAGCGAAGGCACGTGTGCCCACTCGTGTCTGTCCCTGCTATAGAGGATCTTAAATAGCTTTATTTTGTAAAACACAATTTTTAAAAATCAACAACAAAAAATTAAAATAATTGTTTTCTATTGGAATAATTGGAAAGTATTCAAAATTAAATACCTCAAGGTATGTACCACAAATTATTCTTTTTTTAATTAAATAATTATTTAAGTTCTTATTTGTTTAAAATAAAATTGGCTCTCATCTAAATTTCTATAAAAAAATCCAAAATAGGTACATCCCGAAACACTGTGTGAAACAAAATAAGGCCATTATGATCTTCCCTTGTCTATATCTCTCTGTCTCTCTTTATGCCTCTTCCTTATCATATATGTACTCTTCAAATTCTTAACCCAATGCTTTGAAATGCCCGGCTTTATAAATAACTAAATACTAAACTATTCAAAACTTGCATTTAACCTTTTTAAAATTCATGAATTCAAACTCAAGCATAACCCACACTTCCACACTTACACAACACCCATCCCACCCACTCACACCCCCACACACATGTAAATACACAAAATTGTATGCATTTCATAACCCTCTCTCTCTCTTTCACACACACTCTCTGAAAACCAAAACAAAACAAAAAACATATCAAAATTCAAAAAATACCAATCAACAGAACAACTCATTGCAGAGCGGTGCAGTGGCTTTACCGGTAATCCTTCAACCTCCACCACCAACACCACCGGCACGCTTCCACTGTCACCCATCCAGCATGAGTCTATGGATGCACCACAGCCTTTAGTTGATCGCAAGCCTTCTGTGTCGCTATTAAGATGGAACAACAACAACCACACCAACGGCAACAACAACAGCAACAGTAACATCACAACAAATATTCACAACTACCATCACTACCAGTCACCACTACCACCACCACCACCATCAGCAACAACAACAGCAACACCATCCCATAGAAGTAGTTTTAGAAAACCAATTGATAGCATTCAAATGACAGAGACCAACCGTCACAACAACAACGCCAACATCAACTACAACAAGACAAGCGGCTACAACACCACGCCAGGCTCCTCCACATTGCTACAACAACATCAGCAGGGGCTTGCGGGGTTATCTTCAACCGCTGCTGTTAGGCAAGGTTTGAAACTTTGGTTCCTGGCCCCCTTCCCCCCAACAAAATTCATTTTCTCTTTCTTTTTTTTTGGAATGCATTTTTCTTTCTTTCTATCTATTTTGTTTCTTTTTTCTTCCACCTTTCGCTATCACCACCAACACCACCATCCTTCATTCTTTCTCTCCATCAGGCGACCATAACATTTAATTCATTTTCTTCATTTAGAAACAACATCCTAATTGTCCTTGAAAAACATTTTCAAAAATTCACGTTTATGATAGTCTTTAGATTTTTTTTTTTTTTTGAAAAAAGTCTGGAAAAATACATTTGGCGAAATCTACTTTTGTTATTGTCCTTTAAAAAATAAAAAAACCTTTTTCCCATAGCCTTTAAAAAACTATTTTTTTAAATCCCCTTCCTTGAATATATTTTTAAAAGCCCTCGCTCGTGATAGTCTTTAGAAAATTATTTTTTTATATCCCCTTCTGTGATAGTACATGAAAAATTATTTTTTTAAGTCCCCTTCTATGAAAGTCCTTGAAAAAAATATTTTTAAAAATCCACCATGACGAAGGTCATTAAAAAAATTATTTTCAACAAATCCACGTTTGTGATAGTCCTTAAACAAATATAAAAAAAACCTGAAACTGAGAGTTCTTGAAAAATTATTTAAAAAAACAACCCTGTGATAGTCCTTGAACAAATATAAAAAAATATACCTGAATCTGATAGTCCTTCAAAAATTATTAAAAAAAATATCAACGTTATTAAAAAATTGATAAAAAAAAATTATTTTGAAAAAACGCTGACTGATAGTCATTGAAAAAAAAAAAATTAAAAAAAATGTCTGACTAAAATGCAGATTTTTTTGAAAGTCAATAATTCTGATAGTCCTTGAAAATTTTTTTAAATCTAAGAATCATTAATATTTTTTATACACTCAGCCTTATGGTCACAGAGAGGATATATAATTTGATCTGGCCAAAACGCGCCTGAAAAAAATATCGGTATTAGACCCTAGGTCTCTTTGGACCACATCCGTTTCACGATATTTGGAGTCGATCTAGAGGCATCCAACCGTCCGTCCGTTTACCTATCTTGCTGGTGGGCACGATAACTTACGAAGTGAGTATCCGATTTGGCCCAAAGTTGATACATCGCAATATTATTATCATATTTAGATGGATTTCGGTGAAGGGCAATATTGGTCCACTCCTTCTAGTACCTGCCCCACAAAAGTTCAAAATGTCCAAAGAAAATAATTTACCGTTTAGAGCGAGAAAAAATCGTCCAATTTTGCGCAAACTTAGAAAATCCCAAACATTTTATCAGATCCAGGTCAAGGCTAAAAATGGACAATATATACCTCCCTTACGAAGGGTCAAAATTTTGAATTAATATAATTCTTATTTAATATGAAATAAGAGTCCTATTCTGTTCAAATATCACATATTGCAATATTTCTACCAAGTCTAGGTCTGGTATGAATAACGGATAGAATGGACCACTGCTTGTGGTACCTCCCCCACAACGGGTCAAAATTTTGAATAACAAAAACGCTCATAAAACCTTATATAAGTAAGCGATTCTCTTTCAATTTCACATATCCCAATATTTTAACCAACTCAAGATTAGTTGTGAATATGGGATACATCGGTTCACTCCTTCTGGTCCCTCCCCTACAAAGAGGTCAACATTTCGAATAAACAAAATGCTCATAAAAGGGGAAATAAGCATCCAATTTTCGTAAAATTTCACGCATCTTAATATTAGTACCAACACAAGATCTGGTATGAATATGGCAGATATCGGTTTGCTTCTTCTGGGACCTTTCCCACAAAGGGTCAACATTTTGAATAATCGTGAAGCTTATAAAACGTGAAATAAATATCTCATCCTTTTCAAACTTCACGCATTCCAATATTTTTATCAGCGCAAGGTTTATTGTGAATATGAGATATTCCGGCCTACTTCTTCAAGTACCTTCCCCACAAAGGGGTCAAAATTTTGAATGAGTAAAATGTTCATAAAAAGCTAACTAAGTAACCGATTCTCTTTAAATTTTACATATCCCAATAATTTTACCAATACAAGATCTGGTGTGAAAATGGAATATGTCGGACCACTCCTTCTAGTACCTCCCCCACAACGGGTCCGAATTTTTGAATAACTATAAAGCACATATGAAGCGAATTTATCATCCGATTCTCTTCAAATTTCGCAGGTCTCAATATTTTTATTAAAATAACAACTGGCGTGGATGTGGAATATATCGGCCCAGTTCTTCTGGTACCTCCCCCACAAAGGGTCAAAATTTTGAATAACAAAAATGCCCATAAAATGCAAAATACGCATCCGATCCTCTTCGAATATCACACATGCCAATATTTTTACTTATGCAAGATCTGGTGTCAAGATGATAGATATGGGTGCACCCCTTCAAGTACCTTCCACATAAAGGGTAACAATTTTCAATACTTTTATCTCTCAAAACAAGTCCGGGAATCTTTTCTGATTTGGCATATCTAAATACACTTCTCTCATTTGCACATTCCAATATTTTTTTCTGTATTAGATAAATTGAGAATCTTGAACACTATATCTGGTACCCAACGCAGATTTCAGTATTTTCCAAAAAAAGTGAAATTATCCCATATCTCATATAAAGTGAAGGAAGTAGTCGATATAGCCCAAATGTGCGACACGTTGTAATATTTAAATCAGTCTTAGGTCAGATACGAAATGGACCATATTGGCCCACTCCCTCTGAACCTCTCCCAAAAAGGGTGGAAAGTTTAGATATTCATAATGGAGTTAAAATATATTTGAATTAACGAACACTTGTTGAGGGTATATATCTATCGCCAAATCCGATTGAGACTCTTTTAAGTTGTTTTTATAAAAATTTAGAATTTCTGGAAAAAAATCTAAGAGTCATTAATTTTTCTTAAATTCACTATTTCGATAGTTCCCCTAACGTGGTATCACCTCTGTAATAATATGACCCACTAGTTATTCCAATATCACTTCATATTTCCCCATTTCCAAATATCCCGAACACATCTTCCCCTCGGTCCTACATTTTCACTCAACTTCATTTAATCTCCAAAAACTCAAATCAAATACTCTCTCTCTCTCTTTTAATGGATTTTGTGTAATCCATTATCTCTGTAATAATATGGTCCACTCTCCATTCCAATATCACTTTATATTTCCCCATTCCCAAATATCTTCAGCACATCTTCCCCTTGGTCCTACATTTTCACACAACTTCATTTAATCTCCAAAAACTCAAATCAAATACTCTCTCTCTCTCTCTTTTTATGGATTTTGTATAATCCATTATCTTTTTAATAATATGGTCCACTCTCCATTCCAATATCATTTTTTATTTCCCCATTCCCGAATATCTTCAGCACATCTTCCCCCTCGTTTCTACATTTTCACTCATTCTTCATTAAATCTCCAAAAAAAAAAAAAAAAACTCAAACTAAAGATTCTCTCTCTCTCTTTCAATGGATTTTGTGTAAATTTCTACTAATCAAAGCTTGGCAAGCTTTTAGGCGCGCCTGAGATCCCTGTCTGTGAAACTAATCCAAGGATAATAGCTTTCTAAACCACCAATCCTTCATCCTCGAACTGACTAACACCTCAAACTCTATACAAAACTCAAACGGAACTGTGTGTGAAGAAAAAATCAATATTCATTCAACAAACAATTTTGACTTCAAATAGAGCTTTACTAGTTGGGCTTTTGTAAAATAGCTTTAAGCTTTAGATGTGAAATTTTTGTTATTTAAATAAAATCTTAAATACAATAATAATTATTTTTTATTTGTATTGGTTCTTATAGCTAGCTATGGCATAACTGGCAGCGGCTCGGCCATGGGTCCCAGCAATGGCCTCGTCTCCATGTCGTCGGGCGGTGTGCGCAGCGAACCCATATCATTGGCCACCCTGGATCGTGATTGTTTCATAATACCTGTACATAGTGTAGATCGTTTTCTGCCAGCTGGCATACCGGTGAGTTGTAGGATTTATATATTTTCAAGATTTATTAAAAGAATTTATTCGATTCGTGTTTCTCTTCCAGCTGCCACCATCCCCCGTCGATGGTAATTCAACGAAACCTTCCAGCCCCCTCAGTGTTCTGGAGGTATCCGATCCCAAATTATGCATTTTAGTTCATTTGATGAGTCCCCTCGAACCCATTGACCCGGTGCTTGAATCCCCCCTCGCCCATCCATTGCTGAAACAACGTTCAGTGGCCTCGGAACTTTTGACGGAAGTGCAACAGGCCAATACAGCGGTGGGTGGTATGCTATTGGCCAATATGGAGAAAATTTGTAAGAATGGAATATGGAGGGTGTTTTTTGTTGTTGTTGTGATTTAATGTGTTTTTCTTATTTTCCGTTTTCTTCTCCACTCAGCCGAATTTCCTTTTATTACCTATTATGTTATAAATACCACACAAACGGATCCTTCAAACTTTTATTCGGGCATAAGAGTCTCCTCGCTATCGAAATTTGAGCCAAAAAACTTAAGGTAAGTTTGGAGACCACACAAAGGATAAATGCACATGTATGTCAACATACATGGGGAGAAATTGAAGGAGGTGTCCTTGAAAAAAAAAAATCAAATAATCTTTCGGGGAAAATCGTAAAATATCTCTTGGGTAAAATTTAAGAAACCATTAATGATTTTCAAAGTGGGTGTGGGAAAAATGTCTATCTTATTTTCATAAAAACCATTACACCTAGGTATATGATTTATTCTGAGATTAATAGTGAAATTTTGTGTAGGATATTTCTTCTTTTGACAATTTCCACCTAAAACGAAATTTTATGTTACTTTCAGGCGTCAACTCGAAAAAAATCCAAGAAAAAATTTACCAAAAAAAGGGAATACTTTCGGTTTTTTTTGGGAACATTGATGCGAATATTTTTCCGAGATGTTTTGGAAATAGGGATTTAATTTCTGAGATTAATAGTGACATTTTGTGTAGAATATTTCTTCTTTTGACGCTTTCCGCCTAAAACGAAATTTTATGTTACTTTCAGGCGTCAACTCGAAAGAAGTCCATGAAAAAATTGGCCAAAAAAATAGGGAATACTTTCTGGATTTTTTTGGGAAACTTAATGCGAATATTTTTCCGAGATGTATTGGAAATAGAGATTTAATTCATTTGGTGACTTATAATGAAATTTGATGAGGAATATTTTTGTCTTTGGCGTCATACTTCTAAAATGATGCTTTGTTGGAGATTTTCACCTAAACGCAGTTAACTCCAAAAAATGTCAAGGAAACATTTGTCAAGAATTGATATTCTGATTTTTATGGGAACATTGATGCAAATATATTTTTGATATGCCGTGGAAATATAGATTTCTTTTCTTTGGAGACTCATAGCAAAATTTAATGAAGAACATTATTTTCTTTAACGTCATCCTTCAATAATAACGCTTTATTGGAGATTTTTGCCCAACTTCAAAAAAGAAATTGATCAAAAATTACGGAATATTTTGTTTTTTTCGGAAATATTGATGCTATTATTTTTCATATATGCAATGGAAGTAGAGATTTCTTATCTTTGGAGACTTATAATAAAATTTGATGAAGAATATTTTTGTCTTTGACATCATACTTCTAAAATAAAGATTTGTTGGAGATTTCGGCATGAATTCACAAAAAGTACGACGTCAACTCAAAAAAGAGTTCGAGGAGAAATAATTTTTTTTTTGGAAATTTGATGCTGATATTTTTCAGATATGCAATTGAAGTAGAGATTTCTTATCTTTGGAGACTTATAGTAAAATTTGATGAAGAATATTTTTATCCCTAAAGATATCCTTCTAAAATGGTGATTTGTTGGAGATTTTTGGAGAAACTCACACAAGAAATTGATAAAAAAAATGGGAACATATTGGTTTTATTTTGGAAACATTGATGTAGATATTTTTTCGAGAATTAATGGAAATATAGATTTTTTTTCTTTGGAGACTAATAGCAAAATTTGATGAAGAATATTATTGTCTTTGATGACATTCTTGTAAAACGATGCTTTGTTGGAGATTTGTGGAGAAACCCACAAAAGACATTGATAAAAAATGGGAACATTTTGATTTTTTTTTTTTTTTGAAGAATTTTTGCAGATATTTTTTTGGGAATTAATGGAAATAGAGATTTCCTCGCTTTGGAGACTTATAGTAAAATTTGCTAAATAATATTTTTGTCCTCAACATCATCCTTCTAAAATTATGCTTTGTTGGAGATTTTTGCAAAAACTCACAAAAGAAATTGATCAAAATATTAAGGAATATTTTCGTTTTTTTCGGGAATATTGATGCAAATATTTTTCAGATATGCAATGGAAGTAGAGATTTCTTATTTTTAGAGACTTATAGTAAAATTTGATGAAGAATATTTTTGCCTTTTATGTCATTCTTCTAAAATGAAGATTTGTTGGAGATTTCGGCATAAGCTCACTCAAAGTATGGCGTCAACTCAAAAAAGAGTTCGAGGAGAAATAATTTTTTTTTTGGAAATTTGATGCTGATATTTTTCAGATATGCAATTGAAGTAGAGATTTCTTATCTTTGGAGACTTATAGTAAAATTTGATGAAGAATATTTTTATCCCTAAAGATATCCTTCTAAAATGGTGATTTGTTGGAGATTTTTGGAGAAACTCACACAAGAAATTGATAAAAAAAAAATGGGAACATATTGGTTTTATTTTGGAAACATTGATGTAGATATTTTTTCGAGAATTAATGGAAATATAGTTTTTTTTTCTTTGGAGACTAATAGCAAAATTTGATGAAGAATATTATTGTCTTTGATGACATTCTTGTAAAACGATGCTTTGTTGGAGATTTGTGGAGAAACCCACAAAAGACATTGATAAAAAATGGGAACATTTTGATTTTTTTTCTTTTTCTTTTTTTTTTTTTTTTTGAAGAATTTTTGCAGATATTTTTTTCAAGAATAAATGGAAATAGTGATTTCCAAGCTTTGGAGACTTATAGCAAAATTTGATAAATAATATTTTTGTCCTCAACATCATCCTTCTAAAATTATGCTTTGTTGGAGATTTTTGCAAAAACTCACAAAAGAAATTGATCAAAATATTAAGGAATATTTTCGTTTTTTTCGGGAATATTGATGCAAATATTTTTCAGATATGCAATGGAAGTAGAGATTTCTTATGTTTTGGAGACTTATAGTAAAATTTGATGAAGAATATTTTTGCCTTTTATGTCATTCTTCTAAAATGAAGATTTGTTGGAGATTTTGGCATAAATTCACACAAAGTACGGCGTCAACTGGAAAAAAGTGAAAAGAAATCGTTAACAGAAAAATTGGGGAATATTTTCGTTATTTCTTTTGTTATGCAATGGAAGTAGAGATTTCTTATCTTTGGAGACTTATAGCAGAATTTGATGAAGAATATTTTTCTCTTTGGAATTATCCTTCTAAAATAATGTATTGTTGGAGATGTTGGCATAAACTCACGTAAAGTACGGTTGTAACCCTAAAAAGCGTTTTTATGAATTCCTGGCGTTTAGATACAATTTAGACTCTTGACATCTTCTAGGACCTATAGTAGAATTTTATGACCAATAATTTCGTGGAATATATTGACTTACTACAATGCCGTTTAAAGGGGGTTTTTAACCATATTAAAAAAGGACCAAAAAGATCCCTTTTTTTACTCGATTGGGTGAAATATTCCTCGTATTTTTATCTGTAATATTGCCGAAGGCACAATATACCTAAAATGGATTCTGAAGAAATCTAATTTCGAATGGATTCTGAAGAATCTAGTTTAGAAAATTTTCAAAAATTTGTCGAAGAGAAGGGAATTTGCCCGCTCTAATTAGGTTAATTTGCGATGTAAATTTTCCTAACGCTGATACATGTGGTTTTTCAGCTCTACTTTCATAATCTGCTGGATGTTCCCGGCAATTATTTTTTTTTTTTGGTTTGTGTTATATGTCCTTGGAAAAATATTGTTCCGTTAATCCTTCGAAAAAACATCATAAAAGTATAAACTTTTGAAAGAGTGTAAAATACTCCCGAGCGATAGTTCTCGAAGAGCGCGAGTTTTAAGAGAAGTTTAATCTCTACTCCTTTATTTTATGAGTGACTGCTCACGAGTACTCCTGTTTTAAAAATAAGAGCGGGAGTTCGAATTGAGGTTGGAAAATGCTTAAAAATCCTTGATTATTCGCCGCATTCAAATATATTCCTGAAAATCCTGAAATATTTCGTTTGCATCTTGGAAATGCTCGAAAACTGTTTTTTATAAAATATTCTCCCATTCGTCCCTGAAAAAAATCCTTTCGAAAATGCTTCAAGGATTATTTTCTCACAGTACATCATCATGAATGCATTCCGGTGACAGAGTTTACAAACAAATTGTGCGTTTATCTTCCACTCTACGACCACTGATACATTCACCCTCTCACTCTCTGACTGACTGGCAGGCAAGTTCATAGATCTGAGATAATAATTGTTGGATTGGTTCCAGAAAAACAAATTTGTGGCATACTTGCCAACAGATTGGATTCCTTTGGTAAAGGATATCCTTTGGCGGAACTTGGTGGATGTATGTTTGTGTATCCCACACACACACATACAAATTGATCACGGCTAGTTTTATTCATTCCATGATTTATTTGTGTCACATCTCAATATTTTTTATCACATTCGCCACGGTTCGTTGCCTCCACTCTGCTGCTGTTGCTGCCGATGACATTCCAAATGAATTGTAAGTAGCCGCACCGAATTGCAACAGAGTTGGGAACAATGAAACTGGGTGCTGGCTTATGGCTTTTTGTTGGTCAATATTTTTCCTGGCTAATTTATTTCGACCATTGTATGTTGACAAGGATATTAGTTTGGTTTTTTCATGCCCACTTTTTTGTGTTTAATTCGTTTTCGTTTTCTTTTTCTGCTCTTCTTCCTTTTTTTTTTTGGATTTGAATTTTAGATACACTGCCGCTCATACCTTAGATTTATACAGTGAAGTGGCTGCCATATGTCGTCCGCCATTGCAGTTGGCCCCCAGTGAAAGTGGCAGCTTTAAGAAGACACAAACTCCGGCCACCGGTTATATCATTTCAGTATTTAAGGTAAGTTTGTCGGTGCGATTAGTTTGTCCTTGTTGGCTGGCTGCATGTGTCTTCAGCAGACATAGTCTATCTATTATGTAGCACCCCACATCCATCCTCCATCCTCCTGCTCTGCATGTCTACACCACTCACTGTTCATTAATGTCCTGTAGCGAACTTATATCGCTGAGACTCATGTTATATTTAAATTGTAATTTAAGAAATTTTGCCACTATTTTTTGTGTGTTGCTGCTGTTGTTATTATCCTGCCTGATGCTTATCCTTGTTGTTATTGCCATGTTAGCTGTCTTGTCATTTGTTTTGACGTTAGTCTAATAAACAACACAAAAAAACGTGTTTTTTATTTTTCATTAAAGGTCTTCGAAGGCGACGATGGTGAACGCTTTGAAAAGAATTGGCTGTATTGGACGGGTGCTAGAATGTTATACAGGTGGGTATCAACAAAATAAAAAACAGCTGATTGGTGTTTTTTTTTCTTGTTAGTGTCAGTTGACAGATAGGCGGATATGACAACATACCGGATATTAGTTGTCTATGTCTATGAAGACTTTGTCATTTAAGGATATTTGACTAAAATTAGCCGAATCATCTAAGGAAGATGTTTGTCCATGGCTGGAAATCATAATTGACTGAAGCCAAAGAATAGACTAAAGTCAACAATATCGGACAGTTGTCAACAATAATCGACAGAAATCATTAATTGACTGGAGTCAATATTTGACTGGAGTCAATAATTGACAGGAGTCAATAATTAACAGGAGTCAATAATTGACTGGAGTCAATATTTTTCTGGAATCAATAATTGACAGAAGTCAATAATTGACAGGAGTCAATATTTGACAGGAGTCAATAATTGACAGGAGTCAATAATGTCTATAGTCTATAATTGACCGGAGTCAATAATTGAATGGAGTCAATAATTGACCGGAGTCAATAATTGACAAGAGACAATAATTGACAGGAGTTAGTAATGGACAGGAGTCAATAATTGACAGGAGTCAATAATTGACAGGAGTCAATAATTGAAATGAGTCAATAATTGACATGAGTCAATAATTGACATGAGTCAATAATTCACTAGAGTCAATAATTGACCGGAGTAACTTCTTAAGTCAATCATTGACTATGAATTCGGTAATTGACTCTGAAGTCAATAATTAATTCTGAAGTCAATAGTTGACTTTGGGGTCAAAAATAGGCTGTCAAGTAAAAAATTGGCTCTGAAGTCAAAAATTAACTCTGGAATCAATAATTGATTCTGAAGTCAATGATTGACTTTGAACTCAATAATTGACTCTGGAGTCAATAATTGACTCTGGTGTCAATAATTGACTCTGGTGTAAATAATTGACTCACAAGTCAATAATTGACTCTGAGGTCAATAATTTACTCTGAAGTCACTAATTGACTCTGAAGTCAAAAATTGACTTTAAACTCAATAATTGATTCTACAGTCAATAATTGACTCTTAAGTCAATAATTGACTCTTAAGTCAATAATTGACTCTGAAGTCAATATCTGACTCTAAGATCAATAGTTGACTTTAGAGACAATAATTTATTCTAAAGGGAATAACTGACTAGGTAGTCAAAAATTGACTCTGAAGTCAAAAATTTACTCTGGAGTCAATAATTCACAATGGAGTCAAACTTGACTCTGAAGTCAATAATTGACTATGAAGTCAATAATTGACTCTAAAGTCAAAAAATTACGTTGAACTCAATAGTTGCCTCTGAAATCAATAATTGACTCTAAAGACAATAATTGATTCTAAAGACAATAACTGATTCTGGAGTCAATAATTGACTCTGAAGTCAATAGTTAAGTGTGGAGTCAAAAATAAATTCTCAAGTATAAAATTGGCTCTGAAGTCAAAAATTAATTCGGGAGTTAATAATTTACTCTGGATGATCTGATTTTGATGTCAAAAATTGACTCTGAAGTCAATAACTGATTCTGATGTCACAAATTGACTCTCGAGACAATAACTGAGTCGGAATTCAATGCATGTACTGAAGGCAATAACAGGCCTCAAATACTGACTCCAATCGCATTTCGCTTCCAGTCTATTATTGACTGAAGTCTCCTACTCTATTTTATAGCCAAAGGGAATGATCTGAAATTTCTTTTAGAAATCCTCTTGTATTGGTTTCTTCCGATAAAATGTAATCCTTAAGAACTTTTTTTAGATCCTTTTTCTTTCCTCCACCTTATTTGCATAGTTGTGTGCTGTTGCCTTTACTTTTGTTTCCTTTCGTGTCTTTTACAGATATCTACCACGTACTGCCGGCTTACGGCGCATATCTTTGCATAAAAGCACTTCCCAACGTGGCGATAAAATGTACCTGCTTATCTGTGAGTGTGCCGAACTTCTAAAGGACATAAATGCTGCTGCCGTTTTAATACCTGCCCTGAGAGCTCGCCTGTGTGGCTATACGGGGTTATATAGGCCAATACAGGCGTTTTAGTTAGGCAAGAAGAAAAAAAAACCAAAATCAGAAAAAAACACTCACACAAAAAAATGGAAAAGAAATTGGAACAACGATTCAGAAAAGCAAAAAAAAGCTTAAATGGCACAAAAAAGAGGGCCAATGGAACAAAACAAAAAAAATTATGGGTGATACATAGAAAACCAAATAAAAATCCAACAACAAATAGAGTAAAATATTGATTTTTGGTAAAGTGATTTTCGTTTTTTTATTTTTGGTTTCATTCTAGGAATGGGGGGATAAGGAAGGGGTGGTGGTGTTCTAAAGATTATGGTTATGTTTTTTTTTCATTTCATAATTTATTTAAGATTCCATAGAAGTTGTGGTAGAAAGTTTATTTTATGATTTCATGGAAAATGGGATGAAAGTTAAATTTAGAGGCACATTTGATTAAATTTAGCCTTAAGTTTTTGATTTTTTTTCCAAAACAAAGTCCAAAGCTACAAACCTACATATGTATGTAGTTGTAATACAAACTCAACATATTAGTGATATTCAAAATCTCTTCCAATTTAATATTAACAAAGACACACACGCAGAGTAATTTAAAAACACAGAGTAAATTAAATAATAAATCTAGAACTTATGAAATGCAAATATCCTATAGGACCATATTCAGTGAATACAAAAACAACCACAAAACTCACAACAACAATTATTTAAAATAAAATATCCAAAAATAAAAAAATAAAACAAAATTAAGAAATTTTATGAAATTTTATTAACAACACCTTTTTTTGTGACCAAAGTCAAATTAAGCTTGTACAAAAAAAAAAAAACTAAAATAAATAAATGCAGCAATAATTAAAAAAAAAATAAAAAAAATAAACAATTTTTTTCTCTAGGCTAAACAAGAAATTTAAACTTCAAAGCAATGCCAGCAAAAAATCCCTGAAAAAAAGCTTTTTTACATAAAAATAAAACTAAATTGAATTTAACAAAAATTATAATAATTCACAATGGCACCCTCTCAAAGAAGGAGGCTACTCTCCATTGAGAAAAACAAACAACAACAAACAATCAAGCCTACCAACCAAACAACCGAACCGAAGAGAAGAGAATAAACCAATGAATCAATCATTAAGTGCTAAATTATACAACAATAAAGACACAAAGGATACAAAGAAAAAAATAAAACAACAACAACAAAAAGAAAAACCATAGCCATATTGCATGTGATTTTAATATATTCATACGATACAATTCTCCCACGCTCGCCTCCTTTCCCGCTCTTTGGCTGTCACTTTAATGCAGATGTTTATTTTAATTCAGAGAATAAATAATGCCTTTAACCCTTGAAGGGGCGGATAAGTTTAAGTTTATCAGATGCTAAGGGGTTGGAAAATGATTTATATACAATTTTTAAAAATGTCCTGCAAACAAGGATGCCTCAAAGCTATCAGGTCTTCTATAAAGAATATCTCCATGTTTTCATGAAGAAGGCCTCTAGATCTGTTTCGTAAAAGAGCCAAGGATAATCGATGAAGATGACCTACAGATGTTTTAGGAAAAAAGGCATCCACGGAGGCTCCTATAAATAAGACCTCTAGGGGTTCTGTTAAGAAAAACTATAGGTCTTCTATTAAGACCTCTAGGTTTTCTCTTAAGAAAGACTATAGGTCTCGTATGAATACCTCCAGATCTTCTATGAGGTAGTCTTCTATGGCGAAGACCTTAAGGTCTTCTATGGCGAAGACCTTAAGGTCTTCTATAGTGAAGAACTCCAGGTCTTCTATGAAGAAGACCTCCAGGTCTCCTATGAAGAAGACTTCCAGGTCTTCTATAAAAAAGACCTCCAAGTCTTCAATGGCGAAGACCACCAGCTCTTCTATAAAGAAGACCTCCAGATTTCTATAAAGGAGACCTTCAGGTCTTTTATATAGAAAACCTACAGGTTTTATATAAAGCAGACCTACCGGTCTTCTATAAAGGTCTTCTATAGAGAAGACCTACAGGTCTTCTATAGAGAAGACCTTCAGGTCTTCTAAAGAGATGACTTTCAGGTCTTCTATAGAGAAGACCTTCAGGTCTTCTAAAGAGATGACTTTCAGGTTTTCTATAGAGAAGACCTCCAGGTCTTCTATGCCGAAGACCTCAAGGTCTTGTATGGAGAACACCTCCAGGTCTTCTATGAAGAAGACCTCCCGGTCTTTTATGAAGGAGGCCTCCAGGTCTTCTACGAAGGAGACCTCCGGGTCTCTTCTATGAAGAAGTCTTTCAGGTCTTCTATGGGGAAGATCTACATGTCTTTTGTGGCGAAGACCTCCAGGTCTTCTGTGGCGAAGATCTATAGGTCTTCTGTGCGAAGACCTCCCGGTCTTTTACGAAGGAGGCCTCCAAGTCTTCTACGAAGGAGACATCCGGGTCTCTCCTATGAAGAAGTCTTTCAGGTCTTCTATGGAGAAGACCTCCAGGTTTCTATGGAGAAGACCTCCAGGTCTTCTATGGAGAAGACCTCCAGGTCTTCTATGGAGAAGACCTCCAGGTCTTCTATGGAGAAGACCTCCAGGTCTTCTATGGAGAAGACCTCCAGGTCTTCTATGGTGAAGACCTCCAGGTTTTCTTTGAAGAAGACATCCAGGTCTTCTATGGTGAAGACCTCCAGGTCTTCTATGGTGAAGACCTCCAGGTCTTCTATGGTGAAGACCTCCAGGTCTTCTATGGTGAAGACCTCCAGGTCTTCTATGGCGATGACTCCTAGTTCTCCAGGTCTTCTTCTATGAAGAAGACCTCAAGGATATTCTTTCATGAAGAAGACCTCCAGGTCTTCTATGGAGAAGCCCCCGTGTCTTCTTCCAGGAGCAGACCTCCAGGTCTTATTCTATGGAGAAGACCCCAGGTCTTCTTCTGTGGAGAAGACCTCTAAGTCTTCTTCTATAGAGTTCTTCTGGTCGGTCTTCTATGAAGAAGTTCACTAGGTCAGTCGTCTATGGAGTAAATCTCCATGGCGAAAACCTCTTGGTCTTCTATGGCAAAGACCAGCAGGTCTTCTATGATCATGTATCATGGAAGATCTGGTGCTCATCTCGCTCATTTCGAGGAGATTATGGGCATGTTTTTTTCTAAAGGCGATCATCAGTGATATCTTCGCATTATGTTTGGGGACGTCTTATAACAATCTTACAAAAGATTTCTAATACTCGTAAATCTTCTCATAGATGACTTGATTTTTCTCGTAGGATTTCTCTTGATATTATATTGGAAGATTCCTTCATATTCTCTTGGAATTTTTTTAAACCTTCTTTTGGAAGATCTCTCGAAATTCTCTTGGAATTTCTCTCCTCCTTTTTTTGGTTTTAATTCTCAATCAAAACCTATATTTCTCACTATTTATTGTCAGAGATATCTGCAGATCTATTTAGTGGAGATCGGTGGAGATACTCGATCGTCTCATAAGAGACATTTTCTTTGGTTATTTCTAGATTTGCTCCTGAGAAGATATAAAGATCTATCTACAGAAGATCATTATATCTTCATGAAGGATCTGTCTCTCCCTCTACTCACAAATAATTTGAAGATTTTTTATCATTTCAATCTTGTCAAACATAAAGTATCGATTTTAATAAAAATATCTATATTTTGATGACAAGTTGATATTTGAATGGAAAACCCCTTAAAAAGTCTACCAAACACCTTTTCTCTCAGATAAGTTGATCTTCTAAAAGAACTTCAAATGACACTCTCAAAAAATGTCTTTGTTATCCTCATGGAGAGTCTAAGAATTCCATAGAAGGTCTGTGTACATGGATCTTTTTTCCTTCGGAGCCTTTCGGTCTTCTGTATAAAAACCTATTCCTTTAAGGGTTAACATCACCAACAACAGCAACAGTTATAAAAATTAACATAAAACTCAAAGGAGAAAAACAAAACAAACATAAATAAAATAAACACATCAAAGCCAACATAAATTTATTTCTTTGTGAGTAAAGAGAGAGTAAAGAGAGCAACATTAAATGGTGGAAATATGAATTTAAGGGGCGTCTGGAAAAACTATCTGGTGGCATATTAGGTGGCTTTAAGATGGAATAAAAAAGGTTATAAAATGCTGAAATTTACCATTGATTGATCTTACGAGTTTTTCTCTATATCTGTTTTTTGAAATTGACACCTCTTCTAAAATGGGTAAAGGAGTCGGCAAAGGAGGTAAACAAAATATTATAAATTTCTATGAATACTCAAAAAACTGCTGTGATACTAAATATTATTCACACAAATATGTTTAAATAACAACAATGCAAATTGAAAACAATTTTATTTCACAAGTCAATATTCAATTAAGCTATTCTTTTCAGTAAGATAGGATGAGGATCCATTCAATAATTCCACTTTAGCTTTTTCCCAATATGGTAATATCCAAAAAATTCATTGTTTTAATTTTTTTTGTAATTTTTATAACTTCCATAACTTCCGTAATATTATATTTTTGGATTAAGGCTTGTGAAATGAATTTAGTTTTTTTGTTTGCTAAGGAAGCAAAAAATCGTAGAGATAATTAATTAAAGACCATTTTAAGCACCTCTGTAATTTACAACTTTTTAAAGAATAAATACAAATTATGCTTATTTAAAAAAATAGATTAAATAATTCAGCAAATAAGAAAAAATTGCAAATAATAATGCAACAAATTGAAAAATAGATAAAAATATAAATAAATATAAATAAATTAAAAAATAAATTAATTAAATATAATTATTTACACACACACACTTTACACAATCATATGTACTTCAAATTGAAGCATACTCTAAAATATTAGAATTATAACCTGAAAAAATCCTAAACCTCAATCGAAAAAGTAAGCAGCAAAAAAGGTAATACAAAATAGTTTTTCATTTATTTAATAAAATTATGAATAAATAAAAAATTAATAAAAAAATCGGCGCCTGTGTGTAGTTATGTATATACGTATGAAATTCTAAGAGAGCGTACCAGAAATATGAAATAAAATAATAATGATAATAATAAAAATAATAATAATAACAAAATTAAACAATATAGTATTTAAAATAGAGCATCGTCTAATAAGAACTTTATTTTAATTGCCACTAGAAAAATATAAAAAAGTACACTAATCTAACAAATCAATTACTTAATAAGCTTAAAATTAAATGAAAATAATAAAAAACCAAAATAATGCCTATGAAAATTAATGAATACCAATTGTTTTCTTTGAAGATTCTGCTTTTGATTGAGTGATAAGACGATTTTGAAAGTTTTAGTAGTTTTCATATTTGTTTATTTTCTCGAAAGAGTTCTGCTTCGTATTGGTCGATATGTTTGTTTTGAAGAGCTGCCATCTAGTTTTCATATTTTTACATGTTTTCCCTTAACGTACTTCCTGATAACTTCAACATTACGCTCTCAATTGTTTTTCCAAATTATTGTCACTCTCTCGATTATTTAAGGAGATGAGCAATGATCAGAAAAAGCTCATTTGGTGGTAAAAATAGAGCTCAAAAAACTAGAGAGAGTTTCACTCTCTACTCGTATTTGAGTGGAAGTAATCCTGTGATTAACAACCAGGAGTACTCTCGAGGAGTTTCACATAAAACAAAAGGGTAAAAAGTAAACTTCCTACTCTCGGGAATTTTTCACTCACGAGCAAATTGGAGCTTTGAATACAAATAATCGAGGGCCAAACACACTTCTTACCAACACTTTTTGAATAGAGAATTGCGTAGAGGAGATTTTTACTATAGTAAGCTCTCAAGGGATGTTTATATCCTACACCACATAGTGGTAAGGGTATTATTTGTTTGTAACATGGAAAATGAATCGAGATAGGTCCATAGTTACTTTTGAAGATCTTCATAGAATCAATTTCTGAGTCGATTTATGCATGTCAGTCCGTCCGTCCGCCCATGTATTTTTGTGAACAAAGTGCAGGTCGCATTTTTTATACGACTGATATGAAATTTTATAAACAATATTTGTTTGGCCCAAGGACGAAACCTATTGAAATTAGTGAGAATTGGTTCAAATTTGCATATAGCTCCTATATATATCTTTAACCAATTTTTAACCGATTTTTATCAAATTTGGAGAAAATAAGATCAGATATAGCTATAGCTTCCATATATATGTTTCATCCGATTTGGTGTTTAAGACCCTCATATTCGTAATATGCATCCCACAAGAATGATATTTGGTAACAGATATCAGATATAGCCCAGAAATACCTCTGCCAAATTGTATCAAGATCGGTTCAGATTTGCATATAGCTCCCATATATATATTCAACCTATTTCGGGTTAATTGTGCACAAAACGGCCAATATCAGTCCGAATGACCTGAATTTGGGTACATCTGACCGAATTCAGTCTAGAAGGAAGTACATCAAATTTGGAGATTGGCTCGGATATATCTTTAGCTCCCATGTATATGTTTCATCCGATGATAATTGGTACCAGATTTCAGATACATCCCAGAAATGCCTCTGCCAAATTGTATCAAGATCGGTTGGATATAGCTCCCATATATATATTCAACCGATTTCGGGTTTATTGTGCACCAAATGACCAATATCAGCCTAAATGACCTGCATTTTGGCACATCCGACCGAATTCAGTCTAGAAGCAAGTACATCAAATTTGGTTAAGTTATAGCTTTAGCTCCCATATATGTTTAATCCGATTTGGTTTTTAAGCCCCTCACATTCGAAATATGCATTTGACAACAATAATATTTGGTAGCAGATATCTTATAGAGCTCGGAAATGCCTTTATCAAATTTTATCGAGATCGGTCATGATTTGGATATATCCTTATTCCGATTTCAGGCTCCGATATATGTTTATTTTTATACCCTCCACCGTCTGTCCGTCTGTAAAAATCACTCTAGCTTCCGAACGAAATGAAGTAGGTTGATAAAATTTTACTCAAATATTTATTATTTATGCAGGTCTTTTGGTATTAAAAATGGGCCATATAGGTCCACGTTTTGGTACAGCTCCCATATAATGGTACCTCCCTATTTTCGGTGTTCTGGTGATTGAATCGACATTATTCACCGGTAATGTTTCAAATTTCGTATCTAAAGTTCGTAATAGATATTACAGCCTCTGGTAGAAAATTGTCTGTGCAGGTACAGGTCTTCGTACAGCCCCCCTTATATTGGTAAACCCTCCCTACCCTTCGGTATTTTTATGATTTAAACTACATTATTCACCGGAATTGTTTCAAATTTCGTATTTGAAGTTCCTAATATGTACATGTGGAATGTGTGGACATTGTCTAAGCAGGTCCAGGTCTTCGTATAGCCCCCATATATCGGTACCTCCCTTTATTTGGTATTTTGATGATTTTAGCGACATTATTCACCGGAATTGTTTCAAATGTTGTATTTAGAGTTCGTAGTTGGTATTACAGCCTGTGACAGAAAATTGTCAACGCAGATCCAAGTCTTCGTATACCCCCCATATATCGGTACCTCCTTATATTCGGTATTTTGATGATTTTAGCTACATTATTCACCGGATTTTTTTTCAAATTTCGTATTTGAATATTATTATGGCCTTTGACTATGGAGGTCCACGTCTTCGTGTAGACCCCTATATTCGGTATTATTAAGATTTTAACTGAATTTTTAACAATTTTTTTTTTGGCAAATTTTCAAATTCGTTCCAGATGGTGTGAAGGGTCTTCAAAGTTCAGTCCGGCTGACTTAGCTGCTTTTTTACTTGTTTTATTTTAATTTATTGAAGATACCTAATAACATTTACTTCTTAACCTATTTTTTTTTTTCTAATATATATAAGCACATCATTGACATTTGAATAATTTTTGTCATTATTCTATTTAGAATCCTTGTTGCAAGGACACCATAATGTTTGTTTAGGGATGTTAAACCATAGACTAAATAATGTATTGACAGAGGGAAGTGCTTTTTTCTGTTATTTTGCAACAGAGGGCGCTGCAACAGTTTTGCGGCAACCAGCCAACTCAACTTCGAAAAAATGTTATTTCAGAAATCCATTTTTTGGTTTATAAATTTGTCGATGACGTCATGTGTTGTACTGTTTATATGTGCTCAAGCATTCCTTTTAATTTATAAAAATTAGTATGTTTAACATTTTGGACACATAAAGCCCTTCGAACGGCATGAGCGACATCTGTGGATGGTTTTTTCTTTCGATTATAATTGCTATGTTCCAGAACTGCAAGAATCTTAAACTTTTTACTAGGATAACCAATTTTTCGTTTATGATATCGAAAATAAATACATTGCAAAACTAGTAGATTCTTACAGGTTCTGCAACAGGGCAAATAGAAGGGATCAATTCATGCTCTATACATTATTAAGTCTATGGTTGAACTAAAACTATGTGTTATTATTTATCTAAAGAACACTACAAAATATCAGCTATCTAGGATATGGTATGTAGACGGCAATATGGGGTATGGGGTACTCCATTCCCATCCATGAATACCAGGAAATACCTAAAAACTAAAAAGAGTCCCAAATCTTAACTCAGTGGAAGATATTATTACAAAATCTAGACCACAATGAAGGGGGATGCTCTCTCGGCAGTGCATCAGCTTCAGGTAAATTATTCCTAAAAACCAAATACTCTTGATAGAGTTTTGGATCCGCTGGGCCCCAGTTGCGACAGGGTTTCAATGAATTTTGGAATTTCTAAAAGAAAAAAAAAACATTTACGCATATTTAATTCAAAAAACCTGTAACTCTCCATTTCCATACTCACCTCCATAAAACTGCTGCCTCTTTGTTTGTAAATGGCATGAATGGCCCACAGTGGCAATTGAGCTACACCAATGGCCCATAAAATCCAGGCCACATTGTAAACACTAACCGGATAGCCAACACCATTGTAGGTCAATGGTTCCAGGGTAATCAGAGTGTAAACCAAGACGGCAAACATCAAGCCGGGAGTGATGAGAGCCCAACAAATGCGCCAGTAGAGGCCAGTTTTTACGCCCAACATAAATTCAATGTCCTGGCACAAACGTTTGACACCTGCAGGAGACAAAGGATTAAATGAAGGTTAAATTTAGGGATTTCAAATTTAAGAATCATAAAAACCACTGGAAAAATTTCCAAAACATTTTCTTTTTAAAAAAAATTGCCATGTGGAGACTTTTCTTTTTTTTTTTGAGAAATTTTACAGCGAAAAACTGATTCTGAAGATTTTTTAAGTCTTCAGAAAAAGAGCTATAGATCTTTTCTTAAGACTTAAAAAATCGCCTCTTAACACAAAATCTGCCTTAGAAACTCTTTTCCATAAAAAAATAACTTCTTTTTCAGACTTCTCCTCATCAAAGCTTATGTTAACCTTAAATGAGGACACTTTTAATGCAGACAATTTTTAAGTGGAGACTTTTAAACTCTCCACTCCATAATCGACTCTTTCCTAGATTCTAAATTTGAGGGGAGGTTTTTAAACAAAAAATCAACTCACCATAAATCCAGGCAATCGTCATCAGTTCGGCAATGGCCAAGAAGAGGGCAATAAACGAACAGCCAAAGAAATCCACCAAATTCAAAATGAATTGTCCTCCGGGGGTCATGTAGACAAGGCCACACACAAAACCCACCACTGCCATGGCTATGGCCAACATCCAGTGTGACAGAAATGTGAAGCGATCCTTTATTACCGTTATCACACACGAAGCCATACCAACGTTGCTGCCCATGCCCAACACCAGCAGCATCAAAAAGAACAGCACCGCAAAGACCTGGGGTAAATGTTTGAATTTGGCTATGGCCTCGGGATAGGAAATGAAGGCCAGGCCGGCTCCTCCCTTTACGACTTTGGAAATATCCGAGGTGTTCGTTTCATAGGCCAGATTGCCCAGTATGCCGAATATAATACAGCCAGCCAGAATGGAGGTAACGGAATCCACGCTGGTGATGATAATGACATCCCTAAAAAGGACAACAAGAACAACAATAATAACAACAACTACAATATTGTTTATGGCCTCATAAAGGCGGATAAATTTATGGGCCATGCAGCAGTAAATTATCATTTGTTGCTCCCCCTCAATCCTCCCCTCCTTCCACCCCTCTCCTCTCCTTCAGCAACTTACCTGTAAACATTTTTGCGAAAATTATTAAAGGAGGCATACATGACCAGAGTACCAAAACATATGGCCAAGGAGAAGAACATTTGGGTTATGGCATTGTACCAGACCTGGAAAAGAAATGGAAACAAAATAGGAAAAAAACAGGTCACCACATACATAGGTATATCCACGTGAGAATGAGCGTGTGTGTGTGTGTTAACCTACTTGTGGATTTAAAAGCTGATCCCATTGTGGTTTCAAAAAGTACACAATTCCATCCAAGGCTCCTGGCAATGTAAGCGCCCGCCACAGCAGCACAAACATAACCACATAGGGAAAGAGAGCCAGGAAATAGGATGCCTTACCCGAACTGCGTATACCTTTGATTAATATGATGGCAATTAGAGTCCAAGCAGCCATTAGACAAAATACCAAATCCCAACTGGGCCAGCCCAGACCCTCTTCGAGGGAGTCGGCTTCACGTAGAACGGATTTGGTGAAAAACAACTCAGCTGAGGAGACATGTTTGCTGAGGGTTTCATTCGTCGTTTGTGGTACAGCCTCCGAGGTGGCAATACACTGGGCTCCCCATTCCGGACGGCAATAGGTCCAAGGCAAAATGTCGGCAAAGGAGGAAATCAAATACTTGATGGTCAGGGCCATGATGCTGGCATAATAGGTGGTGGCCACGGCGGTGGAATACACCTGGCCATAGGCAATGCCTGTTGAGCCACAAAGAGGAAGAAATTGTATTATTAAAGTGAAATTTAAAAAAAAAAATCTCTACCCCCACTCACCCTTCATCAACGGCACCATACCAAATGCCTTAACACATCCCCGACTGGAAAACTGGCCCAATATCACCTCCATATAATAGACCGGTCTACCGATGAGCAGCAAAACAATAACATAGGGTATAACAAATGCCCCACCTCCATTGGCCAGGGCAATGAAGGGAAAACGCCAAACATTACCCAAACCCACGGACAAGGCAATACAGGAGAATAAAAACTCAATTTCATTACCCCATTTGTCGCGTATGGTGCCGGACTCACTGCTGGTCACATCCGAAATGGAGACCTATAAATTGAGACACATCAAAATACTCTGCTCTCCTCGTTTTTTCGGATATACTTACATTATCCTTGGCATAAAGGATAGACTGTTTAGTCGAAGTACCCTCCTCTGCCTGCAGAAGATTTATCTGTTTTTGAGTCAATTTTTCCAGATTGCTATTCATGTTGGTATCTTGGCAGCCAAGTCTGTGTTTAGAAAAAAAGTGAAAAATTAGGAACTTTTGAAGTAGATTCCACAATTTTAAAAAATCATCGAAGAAACACTCTTTTTGTCGAAAAGTCTCCAAAGTAGAAACAATTATTTTTCGAAAAGTTTTCATATTAAAATGTTATTTTCTTAAAATTCTTGTCTCATTTCGAGTTTTCTATAAAGAAAATATTTAAAATTGGAGACTTCTCTACAAATAAAGTCTCCAGAAAAAAAATCTTCGATAAAAAGTATCCAAATAAATGAAAAAATGTTGAATGTATCGCACATGCATTTCTGTAGGTAATCTTTTTTTAATTGCAATAATGCAAAAAGTCATCAAGAAAGGAAAAATGCAAAAAGTCTCCAAAAAGTGGAAAAAAAGTCTCCAAAATATTTTTTTATTCTATTTAAATCCAAAATTTCCTATTGAAAAGGGCATTCAAAGAAAAATTGTCTATATAAAGAAAATTCTGAGAACTGGAGACTTCTCTAAAGGTAAAGTCTTCAGAAAAGGTTCTTCGATAAAAAGTTTCTAAATTAATCAAAACACCTTTGAATGTATTGTGAATTCTTTTCTATAGAAGAGTTTTCTTTGAATTCTGTAATAATACAAAAAGTCTCCAAAAAGACTTCCAAAGAAGGCTCTGTCTCGAAAATAGCAAAAATCTCTAAAAATTTTAAATTAAAAAAAAAAATGCTTTTGAAAATGAAAATCAATTTAGAAGACAATATCTATCAATAGGGAAATCTTCAAACAAAAATCTAAACATTCCTCAAAAATGTAAGCAGAGTCTCCGAAAAATCTGTTAAGCTCCTTTAAAAAATACTTTTCTCAAAAAGAGAATCTTATCACAGACATTTTTATGACGAATTTTTTGTAGTAAGTCATTAATTAAAAAAGTCTCCAAAAATCTATTTGCCATAGAAAAAATTTTAAAGGAAAAAGATATGTATAAAATGGCTTTGGAATGGGAAAGACTTCAAAAAAACATATGTCTGCAAAAATACAAAAGTCTCCAAAATGAGTTCAAAATATATGAAAAGCCTTCCGAAAAGTTTTTTCTATGGAAAAAGTCTTCAAAAGACGCTCTATATAAACAATCTCCAAACATTTGTTAGGCAAATCTCCAAAAAATACTTTTTAATACTAATACTATTTCTAAAGAAATAATTTAAATATATGATTTTTTATGACACACTTTTAATAGTAAAACTTTAAATATTAAAGTCTTCATAATTTTTTTCCATAGATAAAAATGAAAAGTCTCCAAAATATTTTTTCTGGGTGTAAAAAGTTTGCAAAAAAAAAAAAAACGTAAACGACAAAAACGTAAATATCCCAAAAAAGGATATTAAATAAAACCAAAAACTTTAAAATAACTCTCCAAAGAAAACTTTTCAATAAAATTCCTCTAAACTATTATTAAATAAGTCTCAAAAAATTTATTTTCCATTGAAAAGGTCCTAAAGAAAATAGATGTGTGTAAAATGATTTAAACAACATGGGAAAACATTCAAAGAGAAGCAATTCGGTAAAAATACAAAAAGTCTCAAAAAATAATATTTCTTCCAATGGAAAAATTCTTCAAAAAAATAAAAATTAGACCGAATAAAAATGAAATCGAAGCTCGGAGATTTTTACGACTAATAGAACAATTTTTCACAAATTTAAGATTTAATTTTTATTCGGAAGACCCTTTAATGAAAAAAAATTTCTTCTACGCAAATCTCCAAACCAAATGAGAACTGGAACTACATTGAAAGAGAAGCAATTCGTTAAAAATACAAAAAGTCTCCAAAAATAATATGTTTTCCAATTATAAAAGTCTTCAAAAGAAAACTTAATTGACCCTTCAATCCAAAAAAAAATTCTTGTACGATAATCTCCAACCAAATGAGAAATGGAAATAAATCGAAAATGTCACCAAATGGAAAAAAGTCTCCATAAAAAATCTCTTCTATAATAAGTAAAATACATCGAACATGTCTTCAAATGACATTTTTAACCTCTAAACAAGTCTACAAAAATTGTCTTTGGAAAAGTCTCCAAAAAAATTGTATATGTTATGAAATATATTTATTAACAGATTTTCTCACACGAAAATATTACATTTTCCACTTAATTCTCCAGACGAAGTATATTCTTTACCAAAGTCTATAAACAAAATATTTTTATAGGAGTCGATTGTTTTTCCCGCTATTACATATATTTAAATACTCCAAATGAAGACATGTCTTACTGTAACACCAAATACAACTCCATCGAAGTCTCCAAAAAAAATATTTTTTTTTTGATAAGATCTAAAGATCTCTATATAAATGGCAGTAAAAGTATTCAGAAGATTGTCTTTTAAAAATAAAATAATAAATAAATAAAAATTAACTTCCTAAAAAATTGTAGAAAAAATTAAGTCCTTAATATTTTTTTAAAACGTTCATTTCCTTAAAAGCATATTTTTAAAATGAACATTTACTAATCTTTGAGAAAATTCCCTACTTAAAATTACATCGAAAATTGAAAAAAAGTTCTTGTTAAAAAAATCAAAAAAAAAAAAAAAGGTTCTCTTATAAGACAAATTTCGAAACAAAAAGTATTTTTGATAAGAACTCAAACAAAAACAAATTTCAACGGGAAATACATGTTTTCTTTAAATAAAATTAAAACAAGGAATTACTCAAATACAAAAATGCACGTTCCGAAAACAGTTTCCTATTAAATCCGCATTGTAATATAATTAAATATATATTTTTTTTTGTTATAAATATTTTCTTCTATTTATGTTGGATTTTTCCTGAAATAAAACAATGAATATTGATATTTTATTCATAATTTATTGCATTGATCAGGGTACAAAAGGTTTATTGGGTTGAAAAAATTTTTTTGAAGTTCTTGGGAATTAATAATTTATTTTAATTATATAGATTTATTTTTCCCCTAATTTGTTATATTTTATTAATAATTTATTCGATTGATGTTAAAGGAATATAAGGCTAGGTATCATGTTTTTTATATCATATTAATTTAGATTTTATTAACTAATTGTATTATTTATTTATTTAATACCCCTAATGTTTTTAAGAAATGTGGCACTTGGACATTTCCATATTATATTTTTAATTTTTGGTGACTTAAAACTGCTCACCTTACTTCCTCTTTCATCCCACCCTAATGTCGATTTAATTTATTGAATCGAAAAAACAATAACATAAAGAGACAGATACTGCAATTGTCTGGTAGCTGAAAACAAGACATGTTATTGACATTCGCATTTGACCACGGCGTGCATTTTTTCCTCCACTCAAGAAAATAAAACATAGATAAGCTTTTTGCCGTAACTCGTGACCGGTAGGAAGAGGGAGGAAACAGGGCTAGCATTGTGGAACGAAAACATAGCAACCGGGGCTCAGAGAAGAGATTTGTTTTTCATTGGGAGATCGTTCTAAGGAAAATATTTCGATTTCGAGAGGAGGAAATGTTCATAAGGGAGCCACTCTTATAGAAATTCTAATTTCATTGAAAACCCAACATATTAACTCGAGAAAGGTTGCACATTTTCACTGAAGTCTATAGGCTTAAATTAAAACCACCGACTAGCTGAGCCAAGAAGATTTTCATTAAAATTTATTCGATTCCGAATTGACATTACTTCAAGACTGGTTTACAAGCTTTTACATATTCAATTTTAACTGACCTTGAAACCCATTTAAATAACCCTCCATTTTTGGCCAATTTCATCGCTGACATAAATGAAATTTGTTAACTTTTCTCAGTGCAATGAACCCAAAAATTCAAATATTTTAGATAAAAATTTAGAAAAATAAAAATCATATAAAAAATAAAAACAATTTAAACTTTGGTAAGATATTTTTGTGTATTATTAAACAAGAAATTTCACAACAACAATAGAAAAAAAAAAAACAAATAAAAGTCCCTACAAAAAAAAAAAAAAAAAAACGATGCACTCACTCCTCCCAACATCACCGTTCGCATTGCAATGGTAATGAACGCATTTGTCTTTTTGTCCGCCGGAACTTATGTCTGCACACAGTTGCGATAAGGAGCCAACAAACAATAACAAAAATGTGATGAAGATTAAGTAAATATATTTTATTTTTTGAAACATGACATTTGATATCTAATTTTTCCTTTTTTTATGAATTAGAGTCCAAAGTCTTTATTGGGCTACTTTTTTTCAAAACTTTGGTAACAAAACCAGTATTAAAAAAATTCTCAAAAGAACTCAAAAAATTCTTTAGAAAATTACAAAAGAACAAAAAAGCGCCTAAAAAGGACCTTTAAAATTATATTTTTAGAAAAAAATACATCTAAATTTTTTTAACGTTTTTATATTTTTAGAAAAAATTCATCTAATTTTTTTTTAAAAATAGCATTTAATAAAATATATTTTTTAAAAAAACTTGAGAAAAATGATTTTCATACAATATTTTTTTAAAAAATTAAAAAAAAACAATTTTAGCCTTTAAACAGCATTTAAAAAAATAGTAAATTTTAAATTCTTAAAAATATTAAAAAAATCTCTTTTAGTCTGCAGTTACCTGAAGGGGTGGGTATTCCATATTCACAACAGATATTGTGTTGATTGAAAAATTGGTATGAAATTGAATTGAAAAACGAAAAAAATGCTTCTATTAATCTTTTTTTTTAATTTTAACAAAAAAAAATTTAAAAATTCCATGATTTAAAAAAATAAATTTTTAGAAAAAAAATACATCTAATTTTTTTTTGTTTTTTCAAAAAAAAATTGAGTTTTTTTATATTTTTAGAAAAAATTCATCTAAGTTTTTCAAAAAATAGCATTTAATAAAATATATATTTTTTAAAAAAATTGAGAGAAATTATTTCCATAATTTTTTTTTTTTTTTTTTGAAAAATTCAAAAAAAAAAATGATTTTAACCTTTAAACAGTATTTTTATTAAAAAAATAAATTTTAAATTCTTAAAAATATTAAAAGAAATAAAGAAATCCCTTTTGGTGTGGAGGTACCTGAAGGGGTGGGTATTCCATATTCACAACAGGTATTGTGTTGATAGAAAAATTGGTATGAAATTTAATTGAAAAACGAAAACGAAATTATTTTTTTTTTTTAATTTAACAAAAAAAAATGAAAATTCCATGATTTAAAAAAAGAAGTTTAGCCTTTAAACAGAAGTTTTTATAATGAAGAAAAAAATAATAAAATTTAAATTCTTAAAAATATTTAAAAAAAAAAACATAAAATCCATAAAATATTTTTTTTAATCAAAAAAATTATTTAGATTTTTTGTTGGTACAAATATTGGAATATGTGAAGTTTAGAGAGGATCGAATGCTTATTTCGCATTTTATGAGCTTCTTAGTTTTTCAGAAATGTTACCCCTTTGTGGGAAGATACCAGATTTTTGTCTTGATAGAAATATTAGGATGTGTGAAATTTGAAGAAAATCGAATGCTTATTTCGATTTTTATGTTTTATGTCGTATTTTATGAGTTATAGTTATTTAAAATGTTGATCCGTTATGGGTGAGATACTTAAAGAAATAGTCCGATATGTTCCGTCTTTACTCTAGGTATTGTGTTGAAAGAAATATTGGCATATGCCTTGTATGAAAGCGATCGGATGCTCATTTCGCGTTTTATGACCTTCAAGGTCATTAAACAATTTTGACCCTTTGTGGGGGAGGTACCAGAAGGAGTGCAAACTGGGATATGGGAAAATTGAAGAAAATCGGACTCATATTTCACATTTTATAAGCGTTAGATTTCAAAATTTTGACCCTTTGTGGGGGGGGAGTACTTGATGTAGCGGGCCGATATCATCCATTCTCACACTTGACCTAGCACTGATAAATATATTGCGATTTGCAAAGTTTGCACAAAATTATATGATCTCTTCTTGTTCTATGAGTTAAATTATTTTCTGTGCGAAATGTTGAACTTCTGTGGAGGAGGAGCCCTTCTCTAACTCGATCTAACTTTGATAATAATATTGCGCTATACCAAGTTTAAATCAAATCGGATACTCCCTTCGAGAGTTATCGTGTGCACCAGCTAGACAGACAGACAACCCTAAACCGATTCCAAATGTCCTGGATTTGGTCCAAAGAGACCTAGGGGTTATAACAGTTATTTTGATAAGGCCCGTTTTGGTCGTATCCAATGATATATGTCCTCTGTAGCAACAGGGCCGAGGTTGGCTTGAAAACACGTTTGTGGATCGGATGTCTCTATTTTTTTTTTCAAAAAGTTCGCAATTGAGGCAAAAATATTTTGAAAAATTAACATTGGATCCACTTTGAAATATATTCTTAAAAATACACATTCTTAGGTGAACATATATTTGTTAAAAAATTTTGGTAAAAATAATCTTTTTTTTTTTTTTGAAAGGTATTCCATGAAATTGAAAGAAAATATACCCTGACACCAATTTTTATAGTCTCTCAGAAAAAGGGGGAAAAAAGTCTCCAAAACTAGTAATGTTTATAGAATAAATCTCCAAATTGTATGGCATTGTTTTCCGCAAAGTGTATGCCTCAATAGCCCCTTCCCAATCACCCTGATGCAATTACCTTATTGCTTAATAAATGTATTAATGTGTTTTTTTTTTCTTCGCTATCTTTGGTACATCTTGTGACAGATTTTGAGGTTTGTTTACCTGCCCAAAATCTAAAATGTTGTGTTTAAAAGATTTAATCTTAGAAAAGAACATAAAAAGATGGATTTAATTTTATCTATGAAATCCCACAGTTTCTTTTATGGCCATAATATTTTTAAGAGTATTATAAACTGCACATGAACCAACAATTGTAAAAACATTTATTGGGTAATTAGTCAATGTTTTTGGAAAATAGATTTGTTGAAAAAACATAAAAATATTTAAGACGTACTCGTATACTCTCTTAATCCTTCAGGTGTTGTTTCTTATTTTATTTATTTATTTATTTATTTATTTTTTTATCGTAAATGTCAGTCAATAATCCAAAGTCAATGGTAGGCTATTACAACTTTAACTTTCTTCTTATTGACTTTAACTCTTTTATTTGGATCTACTGCACTTATTTCCAGTCTGGATTTTTTTTTATAATTTTAATTTCATTTACATTCAATTGTTATTTTTCACTTCGAAATTATTTTAAAACATTCTTCTCATTATCCTTTTATATACGTCTTGAAATTTTCCGATTTATTCTCTCCGTTTTTCCAAACAATAAAGCTTTTTTTCGAATTTAACGATTTTATGAAAAATCCGCTTAACTATCGTATCCCGATCAGAAGAACTCTTCAACTGAATTGTGGAAAATGATAACGAACATTTCAACATGTCGTCGTTTCATCTTCAACGCGACGTCTGATATTATGCTGCAGCTGCTGGCTGGCTGCCTAGCTGGCGCTTCAAACACTCACCTCGCAGCATCGTAGTAATTCCGAAATCAGAGCTAATGTCTGTTCCTAATCTACAGTTGTGTGCATTGTTGTTGTTGTTGTCGTGGTTGATGTGATCTGAAGCGATGAGTTGAGATATCAAGCAAAAAAATGTTTGAGATAGGTACCGGCATACCGTCGTATGAAAGCAATTGTTAGGTGTATTCCGCGGTACAGTGGAACCTGTGTGGAAGAGACTAAAATGAGACCATAGAACTGAGGTGGTGTTTAATGATTTACACAAGTAGAAAATCTAAAAGTCCTTACTCGATTATCTTTTCTCTCTCTCTTTCTGCTTAAGAGAATGATGATTCTTATGAATATGACTTCTGAATTTTACGAACTCTCTGAATTCTTGTGAGCTATTTGACTTCACAAAATTCCCCCTGCATTTAAAAACTCTCTGAGTTTTAAATCTACTTAAGATTTTATATACTCTCTATGTTTTTATGAATTCTCGTAGTTTTAGGATGATCATTCTGGGCTTTAGGATTACTTTGAGTTCGGATACACTCTCTCACAAGGTCTTGATTTTTTACGGACTCTCCGAGTTTTTTGCACTCTCTGAGCATTTATGAACTTTCGCAATACTCTCGATCTCACAGAGTTCTAATTAACTTTTTGAGACTTTTGCACATTCGCAACTCGAATGAATGCTATAAATTTATATGAGCTCTCCGAGTTTTTAGATCATCCTTACTCTCAATATATGCATTAGTAGTGGTGAGAGATACTTTTGACCTGAAAAATCAATGGCAAATTAAATTTGAGAGAGAATACTTTTTCGTTCGAGACTGCTCATAGCTGTCTTAGATGCTTGAGATTTCTCTGAAATATTAGGGTTCTCATGGATTCTTAAAAATCTTAGGAGTTCTTACTATCTTTCTTACAGATTCTGTGAACTTTAAGAGCTCTTATGAACACCTGGAATCTGAGTTTTTATAATATCTCTAATTTTTTTTGATCTCTGAGAGTTGTTATGAACTCTCTGAGATCTTATGAGCTCTCAGAGTTATTATGAACTCTCAAGCTCTCTGAGCTCTTATGACTTCTCTGCGTTGTTTTGATGTCTCTACGGTCTTATTAGCTCGCTAACTATGAACCCTCCGAGTTCTCTCATGAACCCTATGAATTTTTATGGGCTCTGCGTTCTATGAACTTATTCATTTCTAATAAACTCCCCGATCTTATTGAGATATTAAAAGCACTGAGTTCTTAAAAAAATGCTTAGATTTTTTAAATTTTCAGAGTCCTAAAGAATGGTCAGAGTTGTCATGAACTCACGGATTTCTTATAAATTCCCTCTGTTTTTGTAAACTTTCTGAGCTCTTGAGAACTCTCCCAGTCAAGGTAGATGTACTAGGTAATCGCATCAGCCCAGCTGACGGCACCATTAAATGTCAAAACAAATTGTTGTAATGAAGAATACGCCCTAAATGAATGCAACAACAAATTTGTTTATGTTGTCTTCCAAGGTAGATGTACTATGTTAGATGTTAGATCTACCTTGGTTGTCTTCCCTAAAAGTAACTTTTTATAATATTTTAAATAATTTAAGAGCAAGTTTAGAGTAAAACTAGTATAAAAATTAAAAGAAAATGAAGGAAGGAGGTTAGAATGGAGTGCACCTTTAAGAATTAAGTTAGCCTCAACATCTAAGATTTCCAAAGCACATCACGGGAAGTAGTGCAAGAATTCGACTCTTGCCATTTGCAGTCCCGGAAAACTTGCGGTTTAAACCAGTAAAATATAGTCATTATAAGTTTCTTGGTTTAAAAAATATCGCAATTAATACTTATTTTACTCTTATTTGTTTTACAATACAAACTTTTATTGCGACGTTCTTTTACGACGAGAAGCACACAAAATAAAATGTAAAAAAACACCTCGTTTCTGATTGGTTGAAACAAATTTGCCGCAACCTTTAAATGTCATGGCGAATCTATGTTTTTCGCCTTAGATGCCAATTTTGACATTTGAGGGGACCACAAAAGTTGCTTTGTTGTAGCAATTCGCCGATGCGGTTACCTGTTAGATCTACCTTGCTCCCAGTTCTTATGAAACTTTTGAGTCTTCATGAACTGTCTGTCTATGATTTCTCTCCACGATTTTTTTTTGAAGTCTGAGTTATTGTGTTCTTATTGATATATTAAGAACACTATGAGTTCTAAAAAATCCATGAGATTTTTTGGACTTTCTAAGTCCCTAAAAATGGTCAGAGTTTTCATGAACTCTAAGATCTCTTATAAATTGCCTGAGTTTTTGTGAACTGTCTGAGTTCTTGTGAACTCTTTCAGTTCATATGAACCCTCTGAATTCTATGATCTCTCTTAGTTTATAATGTACTACTTGCTTATGAGCTGGATCTCTAATGAAATATTCCACATTGTCCTACTTATGGTCCAACTCAACTTTGTGACAGTTCCCTGATTATTATTAAATCCCATATCTGTGTCAAATTCATTCACATTTATCTGTTTCTTTTTTTTCCTTTTGTAATCCGACAAATCTACAAAAAAGATTCCAAATCTTCGATGCAGACACATTTAATTGGTTAAACAATATGTCCATGTTCTAAAAAACACCAGAGCACGAGACCTACAATTAGACATACAATCAGACAAATTGGTACATAAATTTTATACATTAGGTTGACTTAACCTCAAAATTGAGGAAGAATATTTCGCGGAAGGAATTTATGGGATACAAAAGTTAGTTTTGAAAAGATAAAGATAGACAGAGAGAGAGAGAGGGAGAGAGGGAGAGTATGGGTGAAAAAGAAATTGAAAGTGCTAGAACAAAAGGTTGAGAGAGAGAGAGAGAGATTGAGCCCACCTAGTTTTTCTACTCTCTAATCACATTTTATGTCAATAGTGTTGATTGTGAGTGTTGAGAGAATTACGCTCATTGTAAGCACGTGCGCCTTCATTTATCTGGCCCGGTTTTAGTGAATGTGTTAATTTATAATAAATATGGACTGTTGGAAGACTGTCAGTAAATTTTTGGACGTTCCACTATTATGGTTCTCGGAATGTCCTGAATTTCGTATGTGGATCAAAGGTACCTACAAAAAGTGAAATAGAGAGAATGAGAGTCATAGCATTGTAGTTTCCTAATTTTTAGAGCAAATGTTAAATATTTTATAGATTTTTAATCATATTTTTTTTTGCTAAGCCGACCTAATGTCCATTTTCCATTTGGCAGATAGCCGGCATTAAATATTTACAACAATTGCACCCTTTTTCGGTTTGTTTGATAATTTAGAAATAGAAAAAAGAAACGAGATTAAAAGCATGCGTTCGCTGGCAGCGTTAACATAACTTGTCTATTAACAACGATACAGATTGACCTCGATATAAACAATACGCCAATTGAGTGAGTTCTTTGGAATGCAATGTAACTCCATAAAACAGGCTTTATAAGCTTTAAGGCACTCAATTAGGTATCAGAAGCTACTTGTCTTTTAAGGAGCGTTGTAGGAGCTTTTTATGACAATTTCCGAACTCCATTAGTTCCAAGGTATCTTTGGAACTGAAATAGTTTTTTATGCTTCATTCATTTTAAGAAATTCAAAGAGTTTTTGGTCGATATATAAGTTTATAAGAACAACATAAGATCGGGAGATAACTGGATAAAAACTTATTTTTATACCCTCAGCCATATGGCTAGAGGGGGTATATATCATTTGATACGGCCAAAACGTGCCTAATCGAAATAACGGTTTTAGAACCTAGGTCTCTTTGGACCAAATCCGTTTCAGGACGATCTATTAGTTCAAAAGAATCCGTTTCAGGACATTTGGAGTCGATCAAGCGATGTCCGTCCGTCTGTCTGAATGGCTGGCGGGCACGATAACTCTCGAAGCAAGTATCCGTTTTGTTCCAAAATTTGGTACAGCGTAATATTATTATAAAACTTAGATGGAGTTCGGAGATGGACATTATCGTACACTCCTCCTGTTACCTCCTCCACAAAAGTTCCAAACTTTCAAAGAAAATAGTTTCTGCTCAGAAATAGAAAGGATAATCCGGTCTTGCTCCACCTTTGCAAGTCCTAATATTTGCATCAGTGCTAGGTCAGGTGCGAAAATGGCCAATGTCGGTCCACTCCATCAAGTACCTCCCCCACAAAGAGTCAAAATTTTAAATTATTATAACTCTTAAAAAATGTGATATAAAAGTCCGATTGTCTTCAAATTACACACATCACAATATTTTTGTTAACCCAAAGTCTGGTGTGAAGATGGAATATATCGGTCCACTCCTTCTGGTACCTCCCCCACAAAGGGTCAAAATTTTGAATAACGAAAACGATCATAAAATGGGAAATAAGCATTCGATTCTCTTCATATTTCATACATTCAATTTTTTCGACTAACACAATATTTGCTGTGAAGATGGGATATATCGGTTTACTCCTTCTGGTACCTCTCCCACAAAGGGTCAAAATTTGTGAATATCCATGAAGCTCATAAAACGCGAAATCAACATCCGATTCCATTCAGACTTGGTACATCTCAATATTTCCATCAACAAAAGATCTGTTGTGAATATGGAAGATATGGAGCCATTCCTTCTGGTACCTCCCCCACAAAGGGTCAAGGTTTTGAATAATCAAAACGATCAAAAATCCGAAATAAGCATCATTCTCTTCATATTTCACACATCCCATTAATTCTACTAACACAAGATTTGCCGTGAAGCTGGGATATATCAGTTTACTGCTTCTGGCACCTCCACCACAAAGGGTCTCTTTACACCACCAAGTGTTCCTAAAGCTATATTAATTTTTAGAATTTTTTTTGGAACTCGATGAGGCGATTCAATATTTTATAGGAATAAAATTAGATCCGGACAACTTTAAGGTATTTTTATGAGTTTTGTAAATTATGTAGCGTCCAGAGAATTGAAAGCAACTCCATGAGTTCGTAGGAAATCCATAAGGTTTGCTTAAGCCTTCCTTTCCAATGAAAGGCAATGATATTTTCGAATTCTTGCCATTATAAATATGCAAATAGGAACCCTTGTATGACAAAACTCATAAATCTCCCAACCTACCTCACGGTTGAGTAATATAACAAAAGCAAGAGAGGGAGAGAAGAGATAAAGAAAAAATCATCCATTATTGTTGCTTTGAAAAGTTGCACATAAATCAAAGTTTATTAATTTTCAACAATTTATATCATTAAAGCTTGTCCACACATACATACAAACAAAGATATTACAATACATTACACCCCCACACAAAGAGACATCAATAAATCATGCCGTAATGAAAACTCTCAGCTCTCTCTCAACATGACATTTTTTACAAATTGTTGGCCACTTAGGTTTCATATTTTCGAACATTGATGGCAATTCGACGTTTACGCTTACGCTGGCTGGTGTAGTGATGGAAATTTTCACTGTAATTTTCATAGTTTTCACTCAAAGGCGACTCACAATTTAATTTGGTATTGGAATTTACATGCATGGCTCTGAAAAGAGAGAGGGGGGGGGGGGGGAGAAAGAGAGAGAGAAAGTAAGAAAAGGGTATTAAACATTGCAGAGAGAATAAGAAAAAAACGGTAGAAAGCCAATGAAATGAGAGAAGGGAAATAAAAGAATAAATGTTGTCGATCATTCCTTTACAGAACGGGCGGGAATTATCAATCTAAAGGCTCAATTCTTGTTCTACGAAAATGTGAAATGAAAGGGACTGTTCCAGAGCCTGCAGGAATCTACTAATTTTGCACTATTTTCGATATCATAAAAGGGAAAATCGGTTATCATAGTAAAAGCTTTTACATTCTTGCATTTCTGGAACACACCAGAAAATTTCCATTAAAAAGAAAAATGATCCAGCCCCAGGTTTCACAAATGCTACGGTTCTAGAGTGGCTATAACTGATACTGAATTATGTATTTCTTGACAGAAATGGAGAAGGAACAATTCTTTATATCAGTTCTCTCCCAAAATCTCACATTTAAACCAGTAAGAAAAAGTCAAAAGTCGTTCAGGTCCGACGGTACCCTTCACCACTGTGCATATTTAGCAGAGCTCCCGTAACAAAAGAGTTTATTTGAAGTAGATCATACGACCTATCAACCTTTGGCTTTAGAGCAGTTATAATTTGATTTCAGAGATAACTAATATATGGGAGGCATATCCAATCCTCGACCGATTTTCACTAAATCTGACGGAGACTTTTTATCTTTTAGTTCCACAAAATGGAAACCTACATCCCGAAATTCACCGTTTGAGCTGATATTGGTCATTATTTGCACAATAAACCTGAAATTGGATTAAGGATATATATGGTAGCTATATCCAAATCTGAACCGATTTTTATAAATTTCTGGGCTGTATCTGATATCTGGTACCAAATATCAATTTTGTCGAATGCATATTACGAATGTGAGGGACTTAAAGTACAAATCGGATAAAACATATATATGGGTTCTATAGCTATATCTGAACCGATTTTCTCCAAATTTGATGTACTTGCTTCTAGACTGAATTCGGTCGGATGTACAAAAATTCAGGACATTTGGACTGATATTGGCTATTTTGTGCACAATTAACCCGAAATCGGTTGAAGGTATATATGGGAGCTATATCCAAATCTGAACCGATCTTGATAAAATTTGGCAAAAGTATTTCTGAGCAGTATCTGATATTTGGTACCAAATATCATTCTTGTCGGATGTATATTACGAATATGAGGGACATAAAGACCAAAACATGAAACATATATACTGGAGCTATAGCTATATCTGAACCGATTTTCTCCACATTTAATGTACTTGCTTCTAGACTGAATTCGGTCGGATGTACAAAAATTCAGGACATTTGGATTGATATTGGCAATTTGGTGCACAATTAACCCCAAATCGGTGGAATATATATATGGGAGCTATATCCAAATCTCAACCGATCTTGATAAAATTTGACAAAGGTATTTCTGAGCTGTATTTGATATCTGGTACCAAATATCATTCTTGTCGGATGTATATTACGAATATGAGGGACTTAAACATAAAATCGGATGAAACACTTATATGGGAGTTATAGCTATATCTGAACCGATTTTCTCCACATTTGATGTACTTGCTTCTAGACTAAATTCGTTCAGATGTACCAAAATTCTAGTCATTTGGACTGATATTGGTCATTTGGCGAACAATTAATCCGAAATCGGTTAAAGATATATGTGGGAGTTATATCTAAATCTGATCCGATTATCACCAATTTCAATAGGGTACGTCCTTGGGCCTAATAAATATTGCTTGGAAAATTCCATCTCGATCGGATAATAAATGCGACCTGCAGTTTTTTTTTTTTTTTTTTTCAGAAGGTAAACAACATTTGCTCTTTCTCTTTCCTTTTTCTCTCACTTTCTCCCAAAATAGCAGTTTTAAGATCAAACTGTATATTGTCCGCATTTTCTTTCCACCTTGGTAAACACAAATTTAAATTTGTTTTGAAAGCTTTATGGTACTCTAACGGAAAACTTTTACAGCTTATTCTTTTTTTTAAGCATTCAATGATTATTTCAAACAAATTTTTAGATTTCTCGTTTTCAAACGAGATTATACAATTGTCTTTTACTTTAAACCTTGTTAAGAACCCATAAAGCTTTCAAGGCATTAACTTAACTTTATCATAAAAGCTTACGTGGTTTCCGTGGTTTTTCATAAACTGTTATAAAATATGTTTCTTTAAAAATATATCGTTTTGTATAAAAGTTTTCCGTTATCGTGTCCAATTTTCGTATTGCGTAAGAAAAGCACTTTGATAATGTTGCTCATAAATTTTTCTAAAAAACAAAAAACTTTCAAAGTATTGGTGTTTCCCAAAGAAAAGCTCTTCACAAAAGCTTACATGGTCTGCTTCAAATGGGCAATATCCTCTTCGAGTCGACCGATTTTCTCCTCCTGCTGTACCCTCAACAGCTGACAACGTTCGTTGCTCTCTTCCAAAAGTTTGATCATGTGTTCCTGATTGGAGAGTTCCAATTGTTTGTCATTGATGTTTGTGTAAAGATTTTGAAATTCCTCCGTCTTGACGCGCAAGTCATTTGTGAGCTGCAGCGAAGGGGGATTAGATATCATAATATCAATTTTTTTTCTGAGGCTACTGGAAACTCCGTACCTGATTAATGGTGCTGTTCTTTTCACCCATCTGGGCCATAAACTCCTCCAGCTGAATCCGTTGACTGGTTTCGTTTGTCTGCAGCGAGTTGATTAAATCGCTTCTTATGTCGAGTAGCTGTTGATCTCTTTGTATTTGTTCTTCCAGCTTGGTTATGTTATATTGAGCTTTGGATAATTCCATTTTAAGTTTTTGAATTTCACGACATTTCTCCGTTTCCGATTGGCGTAGTTTCGCGAGCTAATGCAATGGGTGAGAGGGGTGGGAGAGAGAGTAAAGAGCAAAATTGTGGGGAGATCACCTGTTCTTCTATGAGAAGACCAACTGTTCTTCTATGAGAAGACCAACTGTTCTTCTTTGAGAAGACAACTGGTCTTCTGGGAGAATGCCTCCTAGTCTTCTGTGGGAAAACCAACCAGTCTTCTTCTGTGAGAAGACCAACTGGTTGTCTATGAGAAGAGAATGCCTCCTGGCTCTCTCAGAGAGAAGACTATCTGGAGTAGACCAAGTTGCTTCTAGGAGAAGACCTACTATTCATTTAGGAATATAACAAGTTGTCTTAGACTTAGTGGTCTTCTGGGACTGGGTCTTCTAGGGGAAGTTCACCTGGTCTTCTAAGTGGTGGCAAACTGGTTTTATAGGAACATATCTTCTAGGAGAACTCCAAGTAATTTTTAAGAGAATATAATGTAGACTTCTAGGAGAAGACTACTTAGTCTTTTCCTAGAGGACCACGGACCAATTGCTCTTCTATGAGAAGACCAACTACTGCTCTTCTATGAGAAGACCAATTGCTCCTCTACAAAAAGACCAACTACTCTTCCAGGAGAAGACCAACTGATCTTGCAGGAGAAGATCAACTGCTCTTCCAGAAGAAGACCAACTACCCTTCCAGGAGAAGACCAACTGCTCTTCCAGGAGAAGACCAACTGCTTTTCCAGGAGAAGACCAACTGCTCTTTCAGGAAAAGACCAAATGCTCTTCTAAGAGAAGACCAATTGCTCTTCTAAGAGAAGACCAATTGCTCTTCTAAGAGAAGACCAATTGCTCGTCTATGAGAAGACCAACTGCTATTCTAAGAGAAGATCAACAGCTCTTCTATGAGAAGACCAACTACGCTTCTATGAGAAGACCAATTGCTCTATGAGAAGACCAACCGCTCTTCTATGAGAATATGGCCCTCCCTGAGTAGAGATAGACGTTTGCCCCTATTTGGAGAAAAAATGTTCTGTTTTCTTCTTTTTACCTCCATTTGAGTATCCTTGGCATTTTCCAATTTTGACTTCTCCAGCATTTCATCTTTAAGCTTGATCTGTTCCCGGAGAGACCTTTTTGGATATGGATTCTATTGAAGAAAATTGTTAAGAAAGATGTAAAATATAACTTACTTTATTTCCTCTTGGGCCTCCTGGTAGCGGATCAACATTTCTTTACTGGAATTAAGTTCCTGGAAACCACAAAAATATTTCCATAACTTAAATTTTCAATCTAAGTCGCAATACCTCTTTCAAATTTCGATTATGTTCTTCCAATGAAGTTTTTTCCTCTTCCAAACTTTTAATTGTATCCCTTAGTTCTTGAATTTCTTCAGAATTTTCCGAGACATTTTGTTGTTCCACCATAAGGTGTAATTTCTGTAATTCCTCCCCCATGGCCTTGAGGGTAACTGTTTTGTTCTGATTTTCATTTCTCTCGTTGTCCAATTGCTGCTGGAGCAACATGAAATTCTTTTGCATAGCATTTGTACTAGAAATTGGGGAAAGAGAATAAAGGAGTTTTATTGGATTTTAGAGAGAAATAAAGTGATAAAGAGAGGGAGAGAGAGAAAGAGAAAGGGAGAGAGAAAAAGATATGGAAAGAGAGAGATAAAACGAGAGAACGCGATAAAGAAAGAGAATGAGATAAAGAGAGAGAAAGAGATAAAGAGAGAGAGAGAGACAAAGAGAGAAATCCCTACTTCTCTTGGTTTTTGCGAAGGCTTTCCTTTAAGGTATTGATTTCTTCTTGCTTTTCCATGTCCAGGGACTGAAGTTGGGATTTAAGAAAAGCTCTTTGATTCTCGGAATTTTGGAGTCTATTTTCTAACTGTGAAACAGGGAGAAGAAGGTTGTTATGATATTTAGTTTAGGTCCTAGTTAATTTTTTATCATACCTCTCTCATGGCACTTTCTCTTTGGGCTATTTCCGCTATCTTAGAATTGAATTGATTTTTCAAGGCGACTAGTTCTTCGTCGTGTTTTTTGCTGAGTTCCAGGGATTTTGTTTCAGCGGCTGCCAGAATTGCTTTGCATTCCTAAAAAAATGATAAGAGTCCGAGAATACGAACTCATTACAAATCGTATTATTGATCCATTATTTTTACAAGGCCATGGCACTTTGCGAAATAAGTAGTTATTCCTGGGCCTCAAATAAGCTGATAAATAAGTAGTTATTATTCGGCTACTACTAAAAAAGTTCTACTACCTATTTCTGGGCAAGGTATAACTATTGACTTCGAGTGACATATCCTTGTTAAAATAATGGGTTAGTAATCAGATTGGTAATGAGTTTTCTGAAGGGGTATACAATTAAATACTAAGGGTAGCAATTTCGACCGGGTCGAACTTCTAATACCCTCCACCAATTGGAACGAATGTGTCAATTTTCAAAAAAAAAAAATCCGTTAAAAGTTCTGTTAAAATCTTAAAAATACCGAATGTAGCTATTTTTTGGGGTCTATACGATAATGTGGACCTGCAAAAGCAACTTTTGTTATTAGCCATTACAATATTCAAATGCGAAACTTGGAAAAAATCGATGAATAATGTAGCTAAAATCATCAAAATTCCGAATATGGGGAGGTACTATTATATGGGGGCTATACGAAGGCGTGGACAATTTTTTGCCATAGGCTGTACTATCCATTACGAACTTCAAATACCAAATTTGAAACAATTTCGGTGAATAATGTCGCTAAAATTATCAAAATACCGAATAATGGGAGGTACCGATATAGGGGGCTTATACGAGGATGTGGACCTGCACAGACAATTTTTTTGTTAGGCTGTTGTATTCATTGCGAACTTCAAATACCAAATTTGAAAAAATTCAGGTAAATAATGTCGCTAAAATCACCCAAAAATCCGAATATCGGGAGGTATCGTTATATGGGAGCTATACCAAAACGTGGGCCTACATGGCCCATTTTCGATATCAACAGACAACTGCAGACATAATATACATTTAGAGTAAAATTTTATCAACCTACTTCATTTCGTTCGGAAGCTAGGGTTATTTCCACGGACGGATAGACGGACGGAAGACATTTTCTTTGCAAGGACCTTACCTCTAGTTCCTGTTTCAAATGTTCGACTTCCGAGTCCGGTAACGGCTTCTCCTTATAGGACTTACATAAATCATCGATGTAGTCAAACAAAGCCTTGGTATTTGAATCCTGCAAAAAATATCCTCTTACAATTTATTTTCAAAATTATGGTATTTTCTCAATTCCCAATACCTGTAGCTGGCGTATTTTCTCCTGGCTGTTGGAATTTTCCTTTTCCATGGAATTCCCTAACAGTTGGGCAAAACTTTCATTCATATATTTTAAGATTTTCGCCTTGAAATCATTGACCGAATTGGAGGCTAATGGGTGGGGAATTTTTAAGGTTATCCTTTTTTTCAGGGCTAAGAATTTTAACTTACGCAGCTCCGGAAGATCCTTCTCCGTATCTTTGATTAAAAGCTTGCATTCACCATTCTGATGGACCACACTAACAAAACGATATTCAAAGCTTTTATCAGGATCAGCTTGGATTTTTGTAAGAAATTCAGTCTGTAAGTCCGTTAGCCTCTTCTCCAAGGCTTGGGGGGAATTTTGATCACCTGCTGTGGAGGTTGTTTTGTGTAAATTTGTTTTTTGATTTCCGGCCATGGAACTCCTGGCACGGGTTTGATTACTTCCTGAAAGGAGAAAAAGTTGCCTATTATTGACTCCAGATGATGAGAAGGCCTGCCTACCACCTCGATTGCTATTAATTTTTGAAGACACAGCATTTGGAGTTCGAAAGCTTTGAGCTTTTTCATTGGCCGTATTGGTTGCTAAACTTGTTTTCGATGCGGAATTAAAGGATTTCTTTTCAAAATCATCTTTTTTCGACATCAAACTCATTCTTGATTTGCTGATCGGTGTTGGAGATCTTGACATTATGGCTGGGGGAGATTTTGTTAATGAATTTCTTTTAGAATCACTGGAGGGTGTTGATGGCCTCGAATTTTGAGATGGCGGGCATGATGGATTTGCAGTTTTGCCCTTTAAGCTTAACACGTTGGACTAAAAGGAGAAAATTAAACCAATAGAAAAATTTCGTATTCAAAAACTTAGTACCGTTGCTTTGATAGCTGGAATTTTGGAGGCTGGATTTGTGATCGACATCTGAATGGAAAATATGTGAATTGGAAACATATCATAAATGAATCTTCATATTACGGAGAACGTAACTTACATTTCTTCCTTTAGCTTTTATGGCTTGGTTAGTTGCAGCTGTTGCCGACCCTACCGAGACTTGCTGGGCCATTTTCTTGGCATCACCCTCAAATTTGGTTGGCTTTCCTGGAACTTCCTCTGGAACTAAACACAAAATGCACCAAAGGTTTTGGAAAAATATCTGAATTTTTTTATCTAACCTGTAGCCATCTTTTCCAGTCTCATAGAACTGGGAGCTTTTTCCATTATTTTTAGTGAAATTTGATGAAATTTTACAAAAACAAAAAAAAAATTGGCAAATATTTTTTTCTCTCAAAGAACACGACACGAAAATAACAGGCGTTTAAATTTATGTTTCCACAAAACAAAAATTAAATACAAAAAAAAAGGAAAAAAATAATTCTGCAAAATAATTCTGACAAATTAGTATCGATACTGACTGGAAAGGCAAGGAAGAATATGTTGAAATAAAAAAAATAAAAACAACTTAAAAAGTATCAGTCGGTTTTGCCAACAGATGTATACCCTCAGCCAATGTTGATTATACAAATTGTTGATCCTCTATGGAGTAGGGCGGAAGGAATTGGCCAATATTGTCCATTTCGTATCGGACCTAAATAAGTTGGTTCCTACACTTTACAGGGTGAAATGAAAAACTCTCCTCCGACAGCTGTTAAAATTATTCCAGTGATAGCTCATTATATTGTTTATAAGCGTACAAAAGCATTTTGGTGAGAATTTTCCAGAAAAAAAGTTTTTCGCGATGGAGGAATTCTAGCGTGATAGTGTGATTTCTTTATATTTGGCTGGAAAACCACAAGTGGCTATCGTTAGAGCACTTCCAGCATTTAAATGTGAATAAATCTTTTGTGTCTCGAACCATCGCTCGATACCGTGATACTGGTCAAGGAAGTGGACGGAAGAAAACAGAAACATCAGCAGAAATGGTTCGAAAAGTAAAGAAGCGACTTCGATCGAACCCGCATTGCAGTGGCTGAAAATTCGCTCGTGAGCTAAACATATCGCAATATTCTATTCGCAAATATTGAAAAATGATATGAGCTCGGGGTAAAGTCATTGAATGTGCAAGAACTTACACCGCAAGAGAAAGAAAATAGACTCAAAAGAGGTAAATGGTTGCTTCGCTTGGCCGAAAGTGATGAACTGCCGAATTTGGTTTTCTCCGATGAGAAAAAATTCGTTGTTCAGTAGTTTGTAAACAAACAAAATGATCCGCTCGCGTTTACTTGCCTAAGAGGTCAGCCGAAAATGTGCTCCTTCGGTTGGCCACCAGAACTCAAGCGGCGGCCATGGTGATGGTGTGGGCCGCCATAACAGCCGATGGTCGCTCACCGCTCGTATTAAACGAAAGCCTTGGGCACGCAAAACATTTTGGCCGCAGACCTTGGACATTCCAAAAGGACGCACTCAGCACGCGCCACCCAAAATAATCATTTCCAGCGCACAATGGCAACCAAAATCTCCGGATACCAATCCGTTTGACTATTGTGTCTGGAGTATTTTGGAAAGCAAGGTTGGCACTAAAAAATACCAAAGTGTTGACCACCTCAAGCAAGCGCTTCGCCGGCAATGGACCAAAATACCGCAGAGCAACATTCGGGCAGCGTGTGTTCTTTTTCGCACCTGACCTAGCACTGATGTAAATATTAGGACTTGCAAAGTTGGAGCAAAAACGGATTATCCTTTCTCTTTCTGTGCAGTAAAATGGGAGGTACCAGAAGGAGTGGACCCATCTCCGAACTCGATCAAAATTTAATAATAATATTATAAAGAAGTTTGCACCAAATCGTATACTTCCTTCGAGAGTTATCATGCGCACCAGCTAGACAGAAGGACATCGCTAGATCGACTCCAAATGTCCTGAAACGGATTTGGTCCAGATGTAGGTATTTTTACTCTAAACTCTGAAAAGTATTTTTTTTTGTTCTTAGGGGACAGACCCGTTTAGCCGGATTTTTGACCCGAAAGACCGGATTGAAGACACAGGTTAGACCCGAATCTACTAAACCAATATGGATAAAACAGGTATTACCTGCATGCTAATCCAACAAGCGGTCACATGATGGGGTTACTTAAAACGGTTAGAGAGTTACATAAAAAATATCGATGTTTGGGCCCGGACCACCCATAAGTCGAACAAGTAAAAAAACATTAAGTTCGGCCGGGCCAAACTTTTAATACCCTCCACCTTAGGGTAAAAGAAACATTAGAAGAAATGTGGCAAAAACCATTAAAATTCCGAATATCGGGAGGGAGGTATAAGTCATTGTCAAGTCGATATACGTTCCCAAGACCAACTAAAAGTTTAACTGCTCTCAATAGATTCGGCAGCTAGCTATAGGCACCTTAACTCATTGCAGGTTCCCTATTAAAGGCTCATCGATTCGCAAGTGCCTCACTAATGTATACTGAAGACTCATCTGCTAGAGTTGGACCTGTTTACAATAAGTTTCGTTAGTTAACTATAGGTTGGTTAGCTCCCTATTGGTTAGTCACTTGACCATGAGTTCGCAGACTTAATATGAGTTCACCTGCTCACCAAAAGTCCACCAGCTCGGTATGAGTTCGGCAGCCCAGTATTAGTTTGACGGGTCACTAGATTTGAGTTCACCAGCTCACTAAGAGTTCAAACGCTCTCTATGAGTTCAGCAGCCCAGTTCACTAAGAGTTCTAAAGCTCACTATGAGTTCGGCAGACCAGCAGGAGTTTGCCCTGAAGTTGCAAACTTAATATAACTTTCCCTGTTCACTAAGAGTTCGCCTGCTCACTGAGAGTTCAAAAGCTTGCCGTGAGTTCGGCAACACAGTAGGAATTTGACGGCTCACTATGAGTTCCCTAGTTCAGTATAAGTTTAGGAGGTCATTATGGGTTCACTAGCTCACTATAGGTTAGTTTTGAGTTCGTCTGCTCACTAAGAGTTCAACAGTTCGGTATGAGTTCGGCTACCCAGTAGGAATTTGACGGGTCACTATGGGTTTACTAGCTCACTACAGACTAGATTTGAATTCCCTAGCTATGATATGAGATCGCGAGTTCACTATGAGCTTGTCAGCTGACTATGAGTTCGCCAGTCTAATGTAGGCTCGAAAATTCACAAAAGAAACGCCAGCTTACTTTGAGTTAACCAGCTGACTTTTACCACACCAACTATCTAACAATTCGCCAGATCTCCATGAGCTCCCCAGGTTACTATAGGTTCACTAGCTCATTTAAAGTTCGACAGCTTAGTTCGCTGTGGTTCAAATATGCCCATTGTAGGGCATTTTAAATTTTCTAAATTCCTGTGGTGTTGTTGTTGTGAACGTGAAAGTGTAAACAAAAAACTGCCAAGAAAATACCGGAACTAAAACTAACGACGCCATCAGCGCTCATCTGACACCGAGGGTGTCTGTGAAAGCATCCATATTTTGTTTTTTTTTTCTCACACAAAACCCACAAACATGTGTCCAACTATCGTCTCCAGCCCCACGAGAGTGGATTATTCTCCTCTAAATGAGATGTAATGCTCAGCAGCCAGACGCCAATACAGCCGGACAGGCAGACATTTGGTTCGCAATTCATTCAAACTAAACTGCAATGCATTTTCAGTTGACCGTTAACTATTGAGGATCCAACACGCGGAACGCGCATCCCACAACTAGTTGAATTAAACCGCAAACGTATAAGGGTACATGTGATAGAGAGTGTGTGTGGCTGTGTGTCTGGGCTCTGCCGGAGGGTGACTTGATCCCAAATACAAAAATATTAATATTAATTAATTCAATTGTAACGAACGAATTGAAATAATTGAACTGAGGAGCCATCACCGACGACATCTATATTTGGAGACACAGAGGCGATCGACAGCCAGCCAAATACAAAAAAAGTAGTATTATTATTGTTGTTGTTATTAGTGAGAAGACGTAATAATTATTGGAATTTTCATAATTTCACAATTTCCAGAATCCATAGAAGTGAGTAATTCGAAAAAAAAAAATTGGAAAACAAAAAAATATAAAACAATCAAACTATATTTGTCCGGTGATAACCTGGCCATTGGGGGCCCCTAACAACAGCACGGAGTGACGTTTTGTGTTTTACAACAACATTTGTTTGTCTAGTCTGAGATTATTTCGCTGACACTTTGGACTAATTGGGGTTCAGTCAGTGATTTGTAGTTTAAAAAAATAAATTATAAGTCAGGTTGGGAAATGGATATTGAACCAGCGGGGGGAAGAACTTGGTGTGATGTGAAGAACTTGCATAGAGAGATCCTAAAGTGGGAAAGAGAGAGAGAGAGAAAAGGGGATCTCCTGGATCCTGCGGAGAGTTTTTGAATTTATACAAATCAGAAGAAGGCTTACGTTTCCAAAGAGAACTGGAGTTTTTGATGAACATTGGCGATCTTATATAGGGCTGTCAATCTCACAGAGAACCAATAAGTGATATTACACATACTGTCAATTTCAAAGAGAGCTGAGATCGATACACCGATTTTACAGGGAACACACGTTCTTCAAGAAAGCTGACGATTTTATAGAGAACGTGTTAGCTGACAGTGATCCGGAGTTCGTACACATACCTGGGGAACCTGTAGAGAGCTGACGATCTTAAAGAGAGAGAAGATGATTTAGAAATGGCCTTTACATCGATCGAGGTACTGATCTTATATATAACTCACGTTCTTCCAGAGAGCTGGTGATTTTATAGATAACTGGTTATCTGCCAATCATCTGACGTTCGTACAAATATCTGGAGAACCTTTAGAGACCTAACGACCTTAAAAAAGAGAGATAGTGATATTAAGAGAACCCTTACTCTTACAGCGAGCCATTGATCTTATGTGCAAGCAATGTTACTGAGTGCTGGGGATTATACCGAGATCTAGAGAACTTAAACGGTGCCGGCGGTCTCAGCAATATCAGGCGTCTTTATGGTGATATTCTGTTCCAGAACCTACCAAAATCTACTAGCTTTGCCGTTTTTTCGGTATCATAACGGAAAATTGGTTATGGTAGTAAAAAGTCTTATATTCCTGCAACGCCGGCGATCTCAGTAATATCAGGCGACCTTACAGTGATGTTCTGTTCCAGAAACTACTAGCTTTGCCATTTTTTCGATATCATAACGGAAAACCCGATTATCGTAGTAAAAAGTCTTACATTCTTGCAGTTCTGGAAGAGAGCATGAGCTACCGATCAATTATATTTAAAATATGTATCTGCAGAGATGGTTCGATCTTACACAGAGCGGCCAGTAATACAGAGAGCTGGCGATCTTAAACAGAGAACGATGTGAAAGGGAGCTTGGGATTTGGGAGAGGTTTCGACATTACATAGAGCGGCCGATTGTACAGAGAGCTGGCGATCCATCACAGACAACCTTGTAAAAGGGAGCTTGCGATTTTACAGAAATCTGGCAAGTTTAGAGAAAGCGGGCTATCTTATGGAGAATGGTGATCTTAAGGAGGTCTAGCCATTTTATGGTGAACTGGTTTTCTTACAGAGAGTCGGCGAACTTATCAAGAGCGGGAGATGGAATCTAAGAGATCTCACTATTTTACAGGAGAATGACGACCTCATAGAGAGAAGCTCTTCTAAGTGAGAGAGAGAGAGAACTAGCGATATTAAAGAGTGATCGCTACCACTCAGACAAAGCTCTGGCGACCTTATAGAGAGTTTGCGATCCGAAAGCTAGCGATATTTAAGATCTGTCGATCTTGCACTAAGAGAGCGATTTTACACAATTCTGGCGGATTTCTATACAGTGAATTTAAGGTTATGAAGAAAGCCAACGTATTTTTTATTTTGTAGAAATCGGACGATATTTACAAGAGCAATCTTCTCTGCAACAAGCTGGGACAACTTGGCATGAGCTGGCAAATTTCTCCGGATCTATTTTCGGACTGCATCATTAATTGTTTTGCTATTGAAGAATATTGGATTTCCGTTAGATTGTCATTAACATAACATTCACCATCAAAATTGATATTCATTTCAGGTCAGTCGGCATATTCTGCCAACCAACAATCAACGGAAAACCATCCATTCATTCGAAGATCAGTAGCATCGCACACACCGACAAATTGTCGACAGCACATTGTGACAGTGAAAATGAATTGGCTGGCGTTGGCTATTTCCATATCGGCAACACTGAATATTGCGTTGGCCTGTAATCGGGTGCCGTATGGGACAACGGCAGCCAAATCGCCGGTGGACGAAAGCTATGCCGTTGTCATTGCGGGTAATCCCCAGACATATATACCGGGACAGAAATATAATGGTGAGTTGAAAAAGACCTTGCAGTAGAGATTTTTTTCTAATAGCTCTCCTCTCACTTTCCTAGTCTCCTTGGTGGCCTCCAATGACCAGGTGTTTATTAGCTTCATGTTGGGTGTGGAATCCGAAAATGGCGGTGTCGATGCCATGGATGTGGTGGGCACCTTTGAAATAGCCGACCTGGCTGAGACCCGTTTTAGTCCACGCTGTGCTAATCTGGTGGAAAATACTAATACAAATGTCAAGCAACGTGTCGATGTGGTATGGGTGGCGCCCGCTGCCACCGGCATGGGGTGTGTGCTGTTGAGAGCCACGGTCATACAACATCGTGATGTTTGGTTTATGGATGATGGATTTTTGACGAAAAAGTTATGCGAAGAGGAAATCGATGATATCGATAGTCAACCGACAATAGTGGATCCTTGCTGTGCCTGTGATGAGGCCAAATATGAGCTGACATTTGAGGGCAAGTGGTCACGGCATACGCATCCCAAGGATTTTCCGGCGAATAGTTGGCGTACAAGATTTAGTGATATTATTGGGGCTTCCCACACCGTCGACTATCGTTTCTGGCAGTATGGTGAACTGGCCAGTGAGGGCTTGAGGGAAATTGCCGAACATGGCTCGACAAGGACCTTGGAAACGGAACTCAAAGATAAGGTAAAATGAAATATTCTAAAAATACTCTTTAACTTCATTATCTCCATCTCTACAGAGCGATCAAATCCGCACCATTATCAAGGCCCGAGGCATTGCCTATCCCGATGTGACGGGAAAAACTCATGCCGTGTTTCGTGTCGATTCCCAGCATCATTTGATATCCTTCGTTTCCATGATCGATCCCTCACCCGATTGGATTGTGGGTGTTTCAGGTCTGGAGTTGTGTTTGTCCAATTGCAGTTGGGTTGAGACCAAGGTCTATAATTTATATCCCTGGGATGTGGGCACCGATATGGGGCCTTCGTATATGGTATGTTGAGGATTTTTTGGGAAATTTTGAATATCTCCCCATTTTATTGGTTTTTAGTCAGCAGACCAGCCTCAAGTTCCTCCGGATGTGGTGCGACGCATTAAATCCAATTCCCCAAATGATCCACGTTCTCCATTCTATGACAGCAGTGGGGCTCCCATGAAACCCCTGGCCACGGTGTATTTGAATCGACGCCGTTTGTATGAGAAGACCTGTGATAACACGGAATGTAAGTAGTCTATTATTGTTCCACTTATTATTATAAGAAGGGTAGAACCGATAAAAATTTGCAGAAAGTAAAGATAACCGGCTCACAGGTAGTTAATACGGGGTGCGATAGTGAGCTGGGATGCGATAGTGAGCTGTCGAGCTTTGAAACTTTAGAGAACCTCACCCACTTTTGTTTAAAATCCCCTCAAACCCATTTGAGCCTTGGGCGCCATATTTCTTAAAACTCCCTTTTCCATCTTTTTCTCCAGCCGAAAACGAACCTCTCGAATGTGCCACACATCATTGGTCTGCCTGGGATGAATGCTCGGCCAAATGTGGTCCTGGCACACAATATCGTACCCGGGAATTTAAAAATCCCGCCGCTGCTCAGAGAGTACGCTGTCGCACCAGTTTGCGTCAGGAACAATCGTGCATGGGTCGCCAGTGTGAGGCGGAAAATGGTGATGTTGAGGAGACTGTGTATGCCCCGGCGCCCGATATGCCCGAGTGTGCCGTTTCCGATTGGGGTGAATGGTCATCGTGTTCGGTGTCCTGTGGCAAGGGTTTTGAGATAAGGCGAAGGCGTTACCTAACGCGAGGGGCCAAGAAGAAGTGTCAGGTGGGTAGGAGAGATTTTTTAATTATTTAAGAATGACGTTCTTATTTCTATTTCAGCCCATTCTCCGTTTAATTTTGGAGGAGAAACGAAGCTGTCGGGCCTCGGACTGTGGTGGCGATATTGGAGACAGCGAGAATGGAGACAATGGCGGTGATGCTGAGGACAATGAAGTTGATGGCACCCGATCCCTGTTTGGCAACATTGATGACAATATCCGTTATCGCGACCTGGAAAGCTATAGCCACCAATTGGACGATTATATACCGCCCGAATGTGGAGTGTCTCACTGGTCGGATTTCTCACCCTGTCTGGGTCCCTGTGGTGGCAAGGGTACCAGTGAACGCCAACGTTTTGTTTGGAACAAAGACGAAGTGTATGGTGTGCGTAATCCAGATCGCGACCCCTCCATAGATCCTTGTCGCCACATCAAACGCCGTGAAGTGGTCAGCTGCAATACCCTGAACTGTGATGCCATTGTGCCGCCGCAATGCTATGAAATTCTAAAACCCAGCCATTGTCGTGATAGTGATGTGGCCAATTTTTGGTACTATGATCACATGTCCGATCAGTGTGCCATCTTTTGGGCAGATAAGTGTGATCGGAATCGCAACAAATACAAGTCGAAGGAAGAGTGTGAGGAAACGTGTCGCATGCCACGCAAGAAAATGGAAATGCAACAGGAAAACATAAGGGCCGATCCCATCGACTGTGTGGTCAGCAATTGGATGAGTCATGCGTGTAATGTGACCTGTGGTGAGGGTGCCCAGATTAAGACACGCAAGGTGTTACGTTCCCCAAAATATGGCGGGAAACCCTGTCCCAAACATCTGGTCAAGATTGAGAAATGTTATCAACGTTGCGATGACATCTATTCCGTGGGAGGTTATGTACCGCAAAACAATGAGGATCGCCGACGACATCATAGCCATGTAAAGTTGGAACCACCGCAGATCGAGGAAAAAGATGAATGCCGTTACTCGGAGTGGTCCGTGTGGACACCGTGCACTGCGACCTGTGGTGACAACTCATATCGCCAGAGGACACGAACATTGCTCAACATTGAAATGAGTTACAAATGCAAGGATCGTGTCATTGTGGAGAAGTGTAAAATGTTACCCTGTCAGCTGAATAATAATGAGGAGTAGGAGGGATATTTCCCGGAGAGGATGGGTATAATGGCATTACCATGATTTTATTTATTGTTTATACATATCTACGAATAAAAGAATTATTGTTAAATCGAAAATGAATTGATTTTTTTGATGAAATGAAAATTTGACGGACAGATGGCGCTACTAGTCAGTGGAGAGACAAAGAGCAATTTTAAGAGAGAGAGAGAGAAAGGGTAACACTGCGTAAATAAACTAGACATTTTCTAAATTTAATAAAAAAATCTGTTGATTCTGAATATGCTGTGGATTGGTTTGAATATGCTGTGGATCGTTTTGAAAATAAATTTTGAATAAAAAAATATGGACTATAAAATTGTGGCAAAGTTCCAGAGAAGTCTAGAAGGTCAGAAGTTGTATTTGGAGGAGGTTTTCGTAGTAGGTCAAAATATGGCGTTTACACGTTTACACCTCCTCCAAATACAACTTCTGACCTTCTAGACTTCTCTGGAACTATGCCACAATTTTATAGTCCATATTTTTTTATTCGAAATTTAATTCTCAAATGTTTGACCCACTTATCAGCAATCGACAGCATTTTTAGAATCAACAGATTGTATTTTTTTATTAAATTAAGATGCAACCAAATTAATAATAGAAACAACAACAAAAACAATTATGAGCTACTCAAATGAAACTATTCAATTCGTTTGGGTCATTCACCCATTCCCCAGAGACGGTACAATCATATTCGGAAATATTCAATCTAAGAGATGACAATAAAATAATTACGCCACCAACAAAACTAATTGGTGCGCGTGCCTCCAAAAGTCCCACACACGCACACACAGAGACACTATCTCCATGGGCCAGGCTTTCCCACACAGTGTCTTGGAAGAAAATTACGCTCTTCGTTTCGCCGATGACTTTCAATCTTCAATTAATTGAACGGCGTCAAAACAAGAAAATTAGGCGATATCAGATTGCGGACATTTCATTGAGTGATTGAGTTGTCTTTTTGATTACGTATCAAGAGGAAGGGAGAGAGAGCATGGGGAGCAGGGTTGTGGTTGGCATTCCTCATCTAGTCTCTTAAATGAAGATGACATAGTTTTTTTCGTTTAATTGAATCAATAAACCAAATGCCGAAGAAAACTATTCAAAAATTGAACTATTGAAGAATTCTCTTGGCGGCAGCGAATTCAGTTGGTTGTCGGATTTCAAACGGTTAAAAACTATAGAACGGCGGTATACCCAATCGAAGGACTTGAAAGTAATCGGAACATTTAGAAAAACAAAGGATATAAAAAAAGGAATCGGAACAATTCGAAATGAATCCTTGTGGCATAATATTGTGGTGTCTATCGATATTCGCCGCGACGAGTGTTTGCTATTCGGCCTGCTATCGCACACCGCAAGGTGCCACCGGTGATCGTTCACCCGTCGATGAGAATTATCAAATATTAATTGATGGCAACCCTTCGACATACTTACCCGGAAGAGAATATAATTGTAAGAAAAGAAGGATATTAAAGGATATTAAATGGCAACAAAAAGCCGGTTTTTTCAATAAAACCAATGGAATTTTTGAGGAGAAACTCAAGGACCAGGATGAATTTTCATTGACAACCAGAAATGAGATTTTATAGACGACCAGACGGACTCCCTCCAGAGATCAGAAACAGTCTTTATAGAGGACTATAAGTAGTCTTTATGGGCGAGCTAAAGGAAGCTGATGAGAACCTTTATAGATGAACTAATGGGAGAATTTATGGAGATCTAATGGAAGCTTTAGGGGACGTCAAAGGCAACCCCCACGAAGACTTTACTTTAAGCATCCTAAAATAGGCTTTAATATGGAGGGAGCCTTAAAAGGCGAATTAAATGGAGCCCTAAAAGGCGAATTATAGGCAGCCTTTAAAGGCGAATTAAATGCAAGTTAAATGGAGCCACGAAAGGCGAATTAAAGTGAGCCTTTAAAGGAAGCCTTGAAAAGCGAGTTAAAGGGAGTTTTTAAAGGCGAATTAAAGGGATCTTTGAAAGGCGAATTAAAGGAAGCCTTGAACGGCGAATTAGATTAAACCTTGAAAGGCGAATTAGAGGAAGCCTTAAGGGGCAATTTAAAGGGAGCATTTAAATGCAGCCTTTAAAGGCGAATTATAGGCAGCCTTTAAAGGCAAGTTAAATGGAGCCGTGAAAGGCGAACTAAAGTGAGCGACTTAAAGGGAGTCTTTAAAGGCGAATTAAAATGAGTCATTAAAGGCGAATTAGAGGAAACCTCAAAAGGCAATTTAAAGGGAGCATTTAAATGCAGCCTTCAAAGGCGAATTAAATGAAGCCATTAAAAGCGAATTAAATGGAGTAATTAAATGCAAATAAAGTGGAGCTTTAAAAGGCGAATTAAAGGAAGTATTTAAAGGCAAATTAAATAGAGACTTCAATGGCGAGTGAAGCAGCCTTTTTAAAGGTTGGAGGCTGCTAAAAGGTGCCTCTTTCATAATAGGCGGATTGAAGACACGCTCTTTCTTTATAGGGGGACTGAAGAGAAACTCTCTTTCATAGGCTAGCGGAAGGAAGCCTCTTAACCTAGCTAAAGAGAGTCTCTTTCTTTATATGAGGATAAAAGCAATCTTCTTTCGTTTGAGGTGAGCTAAAGAGAGCATTTTTCCTTATATGGGAGCAGGAGGGAGCCTTTTAGGGAAGCTCAATGAAAACCATTACAGAGGAGCTTATACAGACCAGACGATGACAGCTCTAATAGATTACTTATAACATCCGAAGGAAATTTCTGTAGCCATTGAAGGGTGTTTTTTAGATGACATAAATGGGAGCCTTTGTCGGTGAGCTGATTGGAAGCCTCTTTATAATCGAACTGAATGAGACTTCTCTAAAGGAAAAGTGCTAAATGAGTGCCTCTTTATCGGCCAGCTAAGTGGGACCTCTTTTTTAAGGTCAGGAACTTTATGGGCGAGTTTTAAACAAGCTTTGTTTTGGAGTTAAATGGAATCCAGCTTTAGAAAAGCCGAAGGTTGTCTATACAGGTGAACAGAAAGACTCTTGGTAGGTCATTATGGAAGAGCCGAATGAGAGGCCTTATAGGCGAGTTGAATAGAACATTTCAGAGAATGTCCTATTAGACTACCAGAACAGAGTCGCTCCAGAATATCTATAGACCAGCTGAAAGGAATCACCACAGATGATCTGAAAGAAGGCCTACATATATAATCTTTCTAGAAGAGCTTTAGAGAGTCTTAATGGGTCAAATGGAGAATACTTCTTCAGGTAAATTGAAGGTAGCCTCAATAGGCTAGACTTTCTAGGCGAGCTGAGGAGAGTCTTTATAGATGGGCACGATCTCTTAGGAGTCATAACTCGTAGGAATCTTTACATATGACCCGAAAAAAGAGCAGAAATAAACAGTAGGGGGTCTACACTGACTCATGACAAAAAGTTAGAAGAGAAGAACCCAAGGGAGCATTCATAGGCAAGGGGAGTCATAATACAGAGTCCGGGGAGTATACTTATGGACGAGTTGAAGGGAGTCTTGATAGAATAACTTAGGCAACCTCCATTAAATGCCTTTAGGCGTAGGGAAGAGAGCAAACAGAGTTTATATGGGTAAACTGAAGGTCGTTTCTACAGGGAAACTGAACATAGGCTTAATAAGCTTTTCTAATAAACTCAAAGGAGCCGTAGTATATGACCAGTATGGATCTTTATATACGATCCGATTAAAGTATTTTTAGACAAGCAGAGACAAGAAGAAGGGAGTCTATATAGAGGGACAGAAGGCAGTTGGAGGGGGTCTTTCTAAAAGAGCCCAAGGATAAAAAAAACGAAAAGGGCTTTATAATCCGCCAGGGATATACCTTTAATGGCGTTCTGAAATAGTCCTTTATAGGTGAGAACGAGGTTGCCTCTCTCTACGACCTATAGCCTGCCTTATATGTTTCTAGGCGAGCTACAGAGAGCTTCGTTTTCAAGGTATATGGGAGCCTTTAAAGCGGTTGTCTTTTAGGGGAAAAGAAGGATATTATTTAGGTTTTTCAAAATTCAGAGAAACCTTTTGAATCCTTCCAAGCCGTTGAGTACCTTTGCCATTTAGCTATTTGAACAAATTTCATAAGAGCGACTTTATTATTTTACTCTCACCTTTTTATCCTCCCAGTATCCCTATCCTGTCCGGATGGTCTGAAATTCTTGACATTCACCCTGCTGGTGGAATCGGAAAATCCCGCCCACAACGCACACAGTGAATTGTTGGGCAAATTCGAGATTATCAATCCGGCCGAGACGAAATTTAGCAATCTCTGTGAGAATATGATTGAAAGTAGCAACAGCAATATGAAGCAGAAGATTAGTGTTACCTGGATAGCTCCAGATGATCCGGAGAGTGGTTGTGTATTGTTTAAGGCGGCGGTATTGCAACATCGTACCGTTTGGTTTATTGATGATGGGTATTTGACCAAGAAATTGTGTCGGGAAAATGTCGATGATATACATCGCCAATTGCCGGCTGTGGATCCCTGTTGTGCCTGTGATGAGGCCAAGTATGAGGTGGGTTTAGGAATTTATTTTTTAACGATAGGAATAATATCTAGTCTTCCATTTAGATTGTCTTGGAACGCCATTGGTCCCGCAATACCCATCCCAAGGATTTCCCTTTGCAGGCTTGGCGCACCAGTTTTGGCACCGTCATTGGGGCCTCACACACGGTGGATTATTCTTTTTGGAGTTATGGCACCCCGGCTAGCCAGGGTCTACAGGAATTGGCCGAACATGGTTCGAGCATGGCCTTGGAAATGGAAATTAAAAATCACACGGAAGTAAAATTTAGAAGGAGATTTTTAAATGGATTTCTCCTAAAATATTTGTTTCTTTTAGACCGGCAATATACGCACCATAATCAAGGCGCCTGGCATCAGATATAAAGCCAACTTTGTGGGCAGAACATTGGCCACGGCCCGGGTGGGACCCAAACATCACATGATCTCGTTGGTAACAAAAATCAATCCCTCACCGGATTGGATTTTGGGTGTGGCCTCTATGGAGCTGTGCACTGCCAATTGTCGTTGGATTGATGAGAAGGTTTTGAATTTATATCCCTGGGATGTGGGCACCGATTCGGGACCGTCTTATGAGGTAGGTGATTGGATAGAATTTGGAAAAGAGTTTTATTCCATATTTCAATTTTAGTCTCCAGATCAAGCCCAAAAGCCTCCGGATGTTGTGAGACGCATTACCTCCTCATTTCCCAGTGATGAACATTCACCGTTTTACGATAAGTCGGGAGCACCCATGAAACCCTTGGCCACCTTAAGGGTTACTCGGAAACGTACATATGGCCGCTGTTTTGATGGTAAGGTGGCATATTGAGATTTATTTTATTACCGAGGTCAAAGACAAGGAAAGCGAGGAGATTGGTTTCCCAGGATGCTATGCCTTGACTTTCTGTGAAGGACTGTTTCCTAGGGTCATGGTGCAGCATCCGGGGGACTTGTTTTCCAGGCTTGGTTTCTGTGAAGGATTATTTTTATTCAGATGATTTCCTAGAATAAATGTGCAGGATCTGGGAGACTTGTTTTCAGGATTCTGTGAACGATCGATTTTATTTAGATAATTTCCTAGGACCCTGGTGCAATATTTTCATTTTTTTCCGAATATAACAAATTTTTCCAAATTTAGGATAGACTTAGTATTTTCATTATTTTTTCGGATCGGGACATAGGTAGAAAGGTCCTACCATGGTACAAAATGTATTGTTGTATCATGAGTCCTACCAATAACATCCATCGATAATGTTCTTAATTTCAGAACAACTTCCGATTGAATGTGACACCCATCCCTGGACGGAGTGGAGTGAGTGCAATGTTAAGTGTGGCAGTGGCACCCAATATCGCGTACGTGATTACAAGGATCCAGAGGTGGCTAGGAAAAAGAATTGCCAAGAAATCCTTCGACAAACCCAGGAATGTAGTGGTCCATGTGTCGAACAAAATTCAGGAGTCCCAATGTCAAGCAATTCCCGCTATGGCAGTGCAGCTGAATGTGAGCTAACGCCTTGGTCGCCATTTTCCGAATGTTCCAATAAATGTGGCATGGGAACTAGGACAAGGACGAGGGGCTATGTCAATAGTTATGCCACCGAGAGGTGTCAGGTGGGTACTTTTTGGAATCACCTCTTATTCTACTTCTAATAATGATGATGATGTTTTATTGTGCATTCCTACAGAGCGGTGGCATAAACGTTGAATTGGTGCAAACCGAATCCTGTGAGGGTACTTATTGTGGTGGTGCCATACTCAACTCCTCGAATAAACAACGCCGGAAGGAACAGAAACCCGACAACAATCGCCCATTGGACTATGACATGGAACCAAATGGCTATGACTCGGAACAAAATCAAGAATATGCAGGTGGTATGGGAGGATATATGGACACTGGGGATTTGAGATCTCAAATCAATAAACCACCATCTATGAGTGGTCGTAATGATGACTATGGCAAATCTCCGTATGAGAATCTCAATACAATATATGGCAGTGAGAGATTGAGGGGAAATCCTCCCCATGTAGCAGAGGATGATGAGCAGGAAATAAGCGGTGATTTAACCTTTGGCAATACTCGTTCGAAATTTAATACATTTGGTACAATGGATGCCAGGGCCAACAAACCCACATTGAGAACTAGCACAACTACCCAACGCAATTTCAGGGCCTTCAGTTATGGTCAGACAACCGAATCATCCTCATCTTTATATGGTTTTCTTCCAAGCAACCCATATGGCATAAAGGGTATCAATGATGGCATCACCGATCACGAAGAGGAGACAGATAAAAGTTTCTGCCTGCAACGTCCAATTGTGTCGCCAGATCCCTGTAATGCTCCCAGGGTATTTTTGAAAAATTATTGGTTCTACGATGCCTTCGATATGCAATGTAAACTCTTTACTTCGGATAACTGTGATCAGAATCGCAATAAATTTTTCAGTCTAGAGGCGTGTGAGTCGGAATGTGCTGGTGAACAGAATATGGAGACTGATGGTTATGGTTATCGAAACATTGGTGGGGGTTATGGCAATTCGGGCGCCACTCGAAACAATGGCAAGTGGAAAAATGTATGGGGTTAAGAGATAATTTTAATAAAAATTATTTTTAAAACAATTTTTTATATTTATTTTTATATGAATTTTGAAAAAATGAGAGATGTCTGGAGAGGGATTTTGATTGAGAATTTTTGGGGGTTCAATAAAGATTTATAAATGTGGATTTATTTCAATATTTTTGGATCTAAAGAAAATATTTTTATTATTTTCAATAAAAAAAACATTAAAAGATAAGCTTTAAAAAGCCTTCTATCTATAGACGACATCTTAGAGTTGTCTATGGATAGAAGAATACTCAGAGGCTTATGTCCACAGACGAGCGTAAATAGGTATTTTGTCTATAGAAAAGCTTTCTATGGTGTTTTCTCCACAAAACATATTTTAAATGTTGTATATATGCATAAAAGAGCTTTCAAAGATCTTCAGTCAATGGTGTTGTGTCCATAGAAAAGCTTTCAAAGATCTTCTGTCCATAGAAAAACTTTCAAAGGTCGCCTGTCTATAGAAGAGCGTTCACATGTCATCTGTCTACTGAAAGGCTTTCAATGGTGTTCCACTCAGTCATTTAAGAGTTATTCTGTCTACAGACGAGCTTTCAAGGCCATTGTATATAGAAAAGTTTCAAAATGAATTCTGCTCATAGAAGAGCTTTTAATGACGTCCTATCTACAGATGAGCTTTCCATTGTATTATATCAACGGTCTTCTATACATAGAAAGAACTTTCAAAGGTCTTCTATATATACAAATATATATGTTTTATATCTATAGAAGAGCTTTCAAATATCTTGTGTCTATGGAAGATCTACTGAAGAGCTTTCAAAGGTGGCCTGTCAATCTGTCTATAGAAGAGCTTCCAAAGGTGTTCCACCTAGTCCTTTAAGAGGTATTCTGTCTACAGTACAGCTGTCAAGGGTCTTCTATCTTTAGAAGAGTTTTAAAAGTGATTCTATTTATAGAAGAGCTTTTAATGGCTTCTGTCTACAGACGAGCTTTCAAAGGTGTTTTGCCCATATGAGAGCTTTTATAACTATAGAAGGGATTTCAAAAGTCGTATATTAATAAAAAAAGCTTACAATGATCTTCTATATATAGAAAGAGCTTTCAAGAAAGCTTTAAAAGACCTTTATCGATTGAAGGTTTTTTAAAGCTCTTTATATTATTATGATTCATTTCAAATTTTAATCTTTTATTAAAAAAAAAACATTTTTTGTAAAAAAAAAACATTTTTTATAAAAAAATCATTTAAAAAAAAAACAATTTTTTTTAATTTTTATATCAGTTTTTATTTTAAAAAAAATCAATTTAAAAAAATCAATTTTTTATAAAAATAAACAAATTTTTATAAAAAACAATTATAAAAAAATAAATTTCTATAAAAAACTAAAATTTTTATAAAAAATACAATTAATAAAAAAATTCAATTTTTTATAAAAAAAATAAATTTTTTATAAAAAAAATATTTTTTTATAAAAAAAAATATTTTTTTATAAAAAAAAGGTTTAAGATGTTTAAAAAACGTTAAAGAGCCCATTAACCATTGGAAGAGCTTTTCAGAGATCATCAGACCAAATTTGGACATTTCAAATTTGATTTTTTAAAAATATCAACTTTTTATAAAAAATTAATTTTCTGTAAAAAAAACAATTTTTTACAAATAAAAACAATTTTTTACAAAAATTAAATTTTTGGAAAAAAAAATATTTTAAAAAACTATTTTTTACCAAAAATTTAATTTAAAAAAATAAATTTTTATAAAAAAATAAAATTTATAAAAAAAAATAAATTTAAATAAAAAAAATTATTTTTTTTATAAAAAAATAAATTTTTTATTAAAAAATAATTTTTTTTAAAAAATGCATTTTTTCAACAAATTTTCAAGGACATTTTTAAGGAATTCTTCAGGAAGCTAAAGGCTTTTAAACTTCACTATTTAAAATTTTTTAAAGGATCATTTGTGGGTCTAATGAGGACTTTTCAAATTATTATTTTGAAATCATTAAAAAAATAAAAAACAATTTTCTTAATTCAAATTATTTCCAAAGTAGGGTATCCGCAAGACCCTATTCCACCCTTAGATTCGCTTTTCTTGCCAACCTTGAAATTACGATGACGGCGACGTCCATAGTCGCGATAAGGAAACATTTTAACTTTGCTAATTCTCTGCCACTCTCTTTCTCCGCCACACAATCAAAGATTTGCGTATGAAACGCAACTTGGAGTAGCCGTGAGAGATCGCCGTCCGCATTATAATCTTGACTATAATCACGGCTTGCCATTAGTTTAACTAAAACTTTGGAAGTGTAAACATCAGTGAGAGAAAATTAAACCGCAAAAAGTACATCCTCTACGTTATAATGGAAAATTGGAAAACCTATTTTCTGGGAATTTACATAGTGACAACAATAATACAAACCGGAAATGTTTTTGCAATCTTGTGCAGCCGTTATCCACAAAACACCTTGGCGCCCAAGGCGCCAGTCGATGATAATTTTGCCATAACAATAACGGGCAATGCCCAGACCTATTTGCTGGGTCAAACCTATAATGGTAAGTATGACGAGGCGATCATTAGCACATGGTGCAAACTAGACGCCTTTTAGTCTAGCTGGCTGATAGTATGCAGAATTGTCTGCACGACAACAAAGCTTTGTGACTAGTTTGCAGAATCTCGTGCTGCAGTTGTGTTCTGAAATGACCTTGAACTTAAACTTATAAAGTGGTTTGCGGCAAATATTTCCAAGTCAAGCCGGCATTGTGTGCGTAGATTAAAAAACGACGCCTCTCAAGAAAACAAAACAAAAATCAATGTTTTGAAGATTATTTTAAGGCGTCTCGCTTGGTGATAAGGTTTCGGCGTCCCCCTTTTTTTCGAGTAAACAACGAATTACTTTTGTTTTGTTTTTGAGCCTCTCAATATGCTGCCTTCAATTAATGCAGAACTTTCCATTAGTTTCTTTACAAGCTTACAATGGTCGGCGTTTTATTAGCGCCAAATTGGCATTGGAAAATGATAATGGCGATCTGGTGATGAATTCCAATTTGGGACATTTCGAGTTAATTGACCCCGTCGAGAGTCGTTTCAGTGCCGATTGTGTGAATATGATTGAGACCACGAATACGAATCCTAAAACCCGTTTGGATATGGCATGGGTGGCTCCGAGTGAACCCGGCTTTGGTTGTGTTTTAATACGGGCCACTGTCATACATCATCGGGATGTTTGGTTCATGGATGATGGTTTGCTGACGAAACGCATCTGTGAGGAGGCCGTGGATGATTTGGAGTCCCAGAAGAAGGATGAGGAGGGCAAGGAGTGTTGTGCCTGTGATGAGGCACGTTATGAGGTGAATTGAAAAGAATTTACATTTTGGAAACCATTTTTCAAAAATTGTTCTCCTTCAGATAACCTTTGAGGGCATGTGGTCACGTAATCTCCATCCCAAAGATTTCCCCGCCAAAGGATGGCTTGCCAAATTTAGTGACATATTGGGTGCTGCCCACACCTCAGATTATCGTTTCTGGGATTCTGGTGAATTGGCTTCGTCGGCCATGCAAGAATTTGCCGAACATGGTTCTTCCCGGGGCCTGGAACAAGAATTCAATAACTATTTTAAGGTAAGTCCATAGAACACGTCAGATTTTCTGAAGGCTAACTTTATTGTGGTTTAGGAGAAAAAGATACGCACCATTCTCAAGGCCCGTGGTCCATCATTTCCCTATTTGAATAATCCCACACTGGCTTGGTTACGTGTGGACCCCTCTAGGCATCAGCTGTCGTTGGCTTCAAAAATTACACCCTCACCGGATTGGATAGTTGGCGTTGCGGGCCTGGAATTATGTCTTGCGAATTGCACCTGGATTGAAGAGAAAGTCATTAGCTTATATCCATGGGATATTGGCACCGATGCAGGACCGTCGTATACGGTAAAATAACATCTATTAATATTGGCTGAACAGAATTTCCTTCAGGAATACTCCCATTCAGCCTGGCTGAATAAAATTTCCTTTGGGAAGACTCTCATCCAGTCCGGCTGATTAATGTTTTCTTGGGGAAGAATTCTCTTCAGCCTGGCTAAATAGAGTTTCCTTTGGGAAAACTCCCATTCAGCCTGGCTGAAAAGAGTTTCCTTTGCGAAGACTTTCACTCAGCCCGGCCGAATAGAGTTTCCTTTGGAGAACTCCCATTCGGCTTGGCTGAATAGAGTTTTCTTTTGGGAAAACTCCCATTCAGCCCGGCTGAATAGAGTTTCCTTGGGGAAGACTCTCACTCAGCCTGGCTGAATAGAATTTCCTTGGGGAAGACTCTCACTCAGCCTGGCTGAATAGAGTTTCCTTGGGGAAGACTCTCACTCAGCCTGGCTGAATAGAGTTCCCTTGGGGAAGACTCTCACTCAGCCTGGCTGAATAGAGTTCCCTTGGGGAAGACTCTCACTCAGCCTGGCTGAATAGAGTTCCCTTGGGGAAGACTCTCACTCAGCCTGGCTGAATAGAGTTTCCTTGGGGAAGACTCTCACTCAGCCTGGCTGAATAGAGATTCCTTTGCGAAGACTTTCATTCAGCCCGGCCGAACTCCCATTCAGCCTGGCTGAATAGAGTTTTCTTTGAGAAAGCTCCCATTCAGCCTGGCTTAATATAGTTTCCTTTGAGAAAGCTCCCATTCAGCCCGGCCGAATAGAGTTCCCTTTGAGAAGACTCTGATTTAGCCTGGCTGAACAGAATTCCCCATTTAACCCGGTTGGATGGAATTACTTCATTTCCTGCATCTCTTTTTGTTTCCAGTCCCCTGACCAACCACAACTACCACCAGATGTTATACGGCGCATGCGTTCTGATTTTCCATCGGATCCTCGATCACCATTCTATGATCCCACAGGAGCTCCCATGAAGCCCATGGCCATGTTGAAAATAAAACGTCAAAGATTGTATGAAAGGAAATGTACAGATGAAGATTGTAAGTCCACATCCTAATATCTCCCATTATGGGACTCATCTAATCTGAAATCTTAGAAAATTTTATTTGATTTTTTTTCCAAAAAGTTTAAAATTCGGAAATAAAAAACGAAACTATTTTTGAGGTTATGATCTCAGATTGTGGCAAACTTTCCTTACCTTTAATGATTTCCTATCCATGGTTTTCCTTGTAGCCAACAATGCCGACGACATACCCCGAGAATGTCATACCCATCCCTGGTCCGCTTGGAGTGAATGCAGTGCCGAATGTGGTTTGGGTACCAGGAGTCGATCTCGTGTCTACAAACAACCGGAAGTGGCTAGTATCTATAACTGTGATGAAATCGTAATAAAGAGGCAAGTGGAACCTTGTTCGGGCGCATGTTCAAAATCCGACAATCCTCCATGGCTACAGGAAGAGGATGAAAACGGTGAAGGGGATAATTTACTTAAATCCCTGCGACCCATGATAAAACGGGGAGGAGGACGATCCAATGTTGATTGTGCTGGCCAATGGTCAGCATGGTCGGCCTGCAATGCAACTTGTGGTGTGGGCTTTAAGATGAGGAGAAAAATTCTCGATGCTAGGGCACAAAGAGAGTGTCAGGTAAAAGTTTTAACAAAACATAAGGATTTCTAAAATAAAATGCATTTCTTGTGACAGGAAGAGGATCTTTATGAATACGAGAAATGTTTTGTCTCCAATGTTGCCTGTCGCCGTTTCAATGTTCAGCCAGTTGTGGGAGCAACAACTCATTTGGAAAATAACTTTGAAAACCCTCAAGAAAATACTTTGCTTGATTCAGAGCATGGAGATAACGAGAATTATCCTTTGAGCTCTTCGGTCACGGAGCCCGAATTTTCATATGAAAGAGTGCCAAACAGTTATAAACCCATTGATGAATTTGCTGTGGATACAAATCTTCCGGAATACAATTACAACAATCAAGAAGAGGATTTGGTGCCCTCATATGGTGGTATTCAAGCAGAAAACTTAAGACAAGAACCACCTGGACCTTATATTTCGAACTATCATTCAGAGGGATTCTATGAACCCGAAGAAACAAAACGTTTCCAATATCTCCGAAGAAACAATCAGCAAATTGTTTTGGATAGAAACCGCAAGGCTCTGCAATATAGTCAAAGAAATGTCCTACCCGGTCATCCAAATCTATACGATGACACGAATTCTCTTCTGCTACAATCCATACCGGTCCACTGTTATCAACCTCTCTCCGTTGTGGAGTGTTCAGATAATCGTGTGATTTCCAATTATTGGTTTTATAACTTCTGTACCGACGAGTGCATGCTGTATGCTGCCGATATTTGTGATCCGAATACAAATAAATTTCCCTCATTTGAGAGATGTGAACAGCAGTGTGCCAATCCCCTTCGAAGGTTGCCGAACTTTTTGCGTCGCAAACAATTGCAATCACCATTTTGCCAACGTTTACTTAGGAATAGCCGAAAGAGAGCTTATACGTTTTGAATAGGTTGCATTTTGAGGTTATTTTAAGGCTCAGGAATCTCAGATATTTCAGAATTTGTTTCATATTCTTAAAAGTAATATTAACATTATTAACTACTGCTAATGTTAATCTGTATAATTTATTTTAAATATTAATAAAATTCTTAATATTGTATTAATTGGAATTAGGTTAGGTTGTCCTTTCCGACAACCAGAGGGGACTATTTGGGTGAATTCTTTAACGACAGACTGAAAGGAGATTTATAAACAAGTTGAAGGGCTTCTTTCTAGACGAATTGGAGAGAGGCTTTCAAGGTCAGTTTAAGGAGTCTTTTTAGACGAACTGAGGGGGATCTAATTGGAGTTTTTATAGATGAGCTGACTGCAGGCTTTATAGACGAGAAAGTAAGAAGGTAAGGTATAGACGACAGAGATTGCCTTACATGCAATCAGAAGGAAGTATTTGTAGACGACCAGAAGGGTGTCCGCATGGGCAAAAAAAGGACTCTGAATAACAAACCTACAAAGGGGTCTGTATCATTGTCACTTCTTCCCTTGCCTTCACAACTACTTCCATTACTTTTACACTTTATTAAACATAATTTAAATAATTTATTTAACAAAAAAAATATCTATAAACATTACTTTCTTTTCTTTTAGATTTTAAAGCTACCTTATTTTTTCGATTTATTTGAAGTTGAGGTTCGACGCGTTTTCAAATATGACCACCAAAAATAATATTTAAGCGTTATGACAGCCATTGTGAATAGAGCAAGTTTTAAACGTTTTCCATTTGAGTTTGATGACACTGGCAACGGACAGTCTCTACGTTGACAATCACCCGCCTTCGTTGAGTAATGACGCATAGCTACGGATGATCTACAGTCCACTGCAAGTCATTGATTTTTAGAACTTGCAGATGTCGACTTCTCGGCATTGATAATAGGTAAAATATTAAATTTAATAACTGAACCCTTGGCACGTTTTTGTACAATTTTCCCTATGGGTTCGGGTGTTTTAATTGATTCCTCTATGGATTTGTAGATTTTTTCACAGCTAGATAAATCCGATTCATTGCCTTGTATTAGAATGCGTACTTCGTGGTGTTTCGACAACCATTTGGAAATGTTCTTTAGGCGGGAAGCTAAATCGTGGTCCGATATACGAGAGCCAATGTTGAGGGTCTTTTCAGATTTCTTCTGTGATGCTTTATCGGAGGCGCCGGAGGAGGTATCCTTGTCTTGACCACCTTTTAAATCTGATAGTTCTTCTTGTAATCGTTCTGCTGAGGAAACCAATCTGAAATAGATGGAAAATGAGATGCAATTTAATGTTGATATTTAAACTGTACCAAGAAACTAGACCAATTTCAGATCAAGTTGAAATATAAGATCTATATATGGTGATATTTGTATATTTAGCCGGTTTTGGAACTTTCAATTAAGGCCGAAGGCACTCAGTTCATTTAGTTTTTTTTAATGAGTTAAAAAAAGCTTCCCGGCTAATCTGAGCGATGTCTTTTAAATATCTTCACTATTTTCGGCTTAACTCTAGTTTAGAAAAAACTCTTCAATTTTTTCGAAATTTTTTCCAGTGGTAGGTATTTTTACCCTGATCCCGGGAAACAATATTTTCTTGGGGGACGGACCCGGAACCCCAGATTTTTGACCCCAAAGTCCGGGACCCCGACAAGATCCAATTACCCGATATATACAATATGGGATTTTTGGAAAGCTTATGAAAATACCTATCCAACATGTGGTCACGGTTCGGAAGTTATAATCAAATTATCGATTTTTTGGACCCGGATTTTTTATAAAATCCCCAAAAAGTCAAAAAAGGGCCCATTGTGGGGGTCAACAAAATTGATGGCAATTTATAGCATATTGTTTATATCGGGTAATTGGTTCCGGTTCCAGGCCGGGTCTCAAACCCGGATTTTCGGGTCAAAAATCTGGGGTCCCGGGTCCGTCCCCCAAGAAAAAAATAGTTTCCCGGAATCAGGGTAAAAATACATACCTCTGGGAAAAATTTAGAAAACATCGAATTGTTTTTACTAAACTAGAGTTGTTCCCCATTTTCTTAGTATATCCTTACTTATAGACCGGCCTCTGGGTTTTCGTATCCAACTTCTGCACCTGCACCAGTTGCATTGAACGACGTTTGGCCAGATTCTTGGCCTCCTCCAGAGATGTAACGGTAACATTTTGATTTTGCAACAGGGTAATCTTCAGCGATGATGACTTCTTCTTTTGAGCGGATGCACCGGATTCATCGCCCACATCATTGGGCCTCTGTCTTTGGTACAAAGACAAACATCCAGTATTTGTGTGTATGGGTCTCAGCAGATTCCTTACCGCCAACGTTTGAATGGCGTTTCTTAGCAAAAATGTCATTGTTTTTTAAATAAAATGCACTTTTTAGAACGATGCTTGGTGTTTTTCTTATGAAATGGGAGTTGAGTTAGATTACAGTGCCACTAAAGCTTAAGAAAAACGTCAAAACAAAAACAACGAGCAGGGTTCTAGAAGCTAAAAGAAACCAGCTGTGATGTTCACTGAATGAACTAAGGAACGAGTGACAATACATTTAAAGCCGAGGCCTCTATTGTGTAGTCACGTTTTATGTGGAAATTAGGAATTTTTAATATTCGGGGGAGAGAAAAGAGAGAGAGATAGAGAGAGAGAAAGAGGAGATAAAATAACGTTTTCCTCTCCCCACTTGCCTTATGGATCAATCATGACATATTTCGTTTACTGAAACAAGCGTAAAGTTCAAAAATATATGTTCACTGAATGGACGAAAGAACGAATGTGGAACATGTTTTAAATATAAAAAAAATAATAAATTGAAAAAACATATAAAGAAACTAAATAAAAAAGTATGTTATCATCAGAAGAAGACGTTTAAAGTTGTTTGTTGATAACAACTTTTTTTTATTTATATTAAATGTCAATTAGTTAAAATTTGTATGACAACAAAGTAGAAATAAGGACCAAATTTCTTGCTATTAAAAATACCTTTTGTTGGTTAAAATCTTTAAAATTCTGCTATGCGTGGTAGGATTGTTTTCTGAATGCCGCCCATACCGAATTTACCAAATTTAATGCGATTAAAATTATACGCCTAAAAGTATGCTCAATTTAATTACCATTCTTAAATATCAACACATATTTTATTTGCCATATATAAATAAATGGTTTACATTTCCAAGGATATTTTTCATGTTTATATATTTTATCCTCGTGACAAAGCAGCAATAAAAACACCAACATTTATATTTTTTTATTTATGTATGTATTTTGATTTATAGTTGTAACACGATACAATAATAATATGGAATATATTTGCTGTTGTTGTTGTCGTCGGTGTGTCTTTATTTATGTATGTATGTAGTTATGTATATATCATTCTTTATAAATACTTTTTGTTAGGTAGATTAATGTTTTAACGGAATCTGTTATTAATATTTATTTGTATTTTTTTTAATTCAAACTAAGACAGAAGGAAAAAAGATTGCACTTATATTTAAAACATTTATAAACTAAACTTATTATTCTCTTTTCATTTTCTTTTTTTAAAACATAAATATAAGCATCATTTGAAATACATATATATTTACTATATAGCTATGTTGGAGTGTATCGGTGTGTCCGTATATGCATACATATAAAATAAGAGTATATATACAACGAGGTAAATTACGTTTTGAGATAGCGGTAAAACAAAAATCGAAACTAATTATAACAAAATGATTTCTCTGTTTCGAGTGCCATTGAAAGCGATAAGAATAGGGTTATTGATTCTTGCGTGTTCTGGCTGTCTACGAAGGTAAATTTATAATTATTATCATCATCAATGTTGTTGTTGTTGCTTTTGTTTCACGACTTCATTAGTTTTGTTTCATATGTTTTTCCAGCAGATATACATTTTGAGCTTGCTTGGTTGGGTGTCATGTAGTTAAGGGAGGTAAAGAAGGAAATGTCAAATGCCCCCATAACTGCGTGGGATGCCATTACAAAAGTTAGTGAGATTTTCCTATATGTGTGTGTTTCGTTTTCTTAGACTCTTTGGATTTCAAACAGCTTTACTTCGGTGTCATACCAAATTGCCGGCTCCACGTTACGCAAATAAATCACACCCCATATATAGGTACGGAACCAAGCCGTTGTTCCCGCATTTGCTTGATACTTCCGTATGAGTATGGGATGGGGAACTGGCAGGAGGCCCACAAGCGTACCATGTTGAAGGAATTTTAAAATTTCCGACTCATCCGTTAGACCCTTGTCTATACAGATTTTCTCCACTTGTGGCACTAGGACCTGCAGAAGACGCATTATGGTTTGCAAAGGCAGCTTGGAACGCCATGAAACTATCCATTCTGGTGTGGGTGTCCACACTTCCATGGAGGGTTGATGAACCATGCGAATGCTGCTACGTGGTGCCACTGATAGCCGGTTATTGGCTTTTACATCACGTTCAAAATTTCCATTAATTGGACTATTCGATCGAGACTCGGATGGAGATTTCTCAGGGGTTTTCTCAAACCGCACTATGTCTGAGGTGCCATCAATTGTGGGAGTTTGTTCCGTTGAATCAGTACTGCCCGGATGGGCCTGTTCCCGTTCAGTCATTTGCAATAAGGCTGGAGTATCAGGCAAGGAGGCCTTCAATGTGCCCGGTTCAGCAGGCATGGCCGTTAAAGCACCTTCCATTTGTTTTTCTCCACCGTGCTGTTGTTGTTGAGACTCAGTCTCCGATTCAGCAATGTTGCTATTATTAAGAATGCCACCGTTTTTGGGGGTATCCTCCTCCAAATCATCCTCCTCATCCTCTTCGTCATCATCTTCAACGCAGTTGGGCAACTGATTTTGAAAATTTTGCACAACAGTTGTTATTCGCTTCTGCCTCACGGGTGGTAAATTGAATTTTCCCACTTTTCGACCACTCAGACACTTTGCAATGCCATTCATATCAGTTGGCAAATTGGCCATGGCATGGAAAACATGGCGCTTCCGTATAATCGTGTACACCAAATTCGAATTGCCATCAAATTGGTATTGTATGATGTTGTTGAATATCTCCAACAAGAAAAACACCAAATGATGGTTACTGGGGGCGGACAATAAGAACCATGGTGTACTGAAGGCCTCCAATAAATGCAATAACTTTACACTAGCCACCATGGACAGAGTCTTGAGATAGGGTGAAACATTGACCAAAATTGTGAGAAGACAATCGAATAAGGGCTGCAAACGTTGATGGCCAGTGGCAATGATTTTATGGAATACTGTTATCAAGAGATCGGCATGGGTACCCGTGAACACGGGAATGTCCATAGGCACAGTAGCAGTGTAGGGTTTATTCAGGCGCACACCAAAGTTACGCTCACCTAAAAGACAAAGGGAAAAAATAATTGGATTAGAAACTGAGGCTCTGACTCATACCCTCACTCTCTGTCTATGGTTTCAACTTACCCGACAACAGCAACAAAATAAAAACCCCAATATGCATTAGTCCCACCTTCGACTGATCAGCCCGGGAATAATTCAAATGATAGAGTATGGGTATTAAAATATCCAAAACATCCGAACTTTTCAAAACGAAATACAAAAACTTCTTATTGTAATCGCATATCTTCCAGAACAATATCAACAGCTCCTGGTGACAATGCAAACGTTTCGTGGAATTGGGCAAATAGTTTTGAACCAAGGGGTTGTTCAGCAGACGTGTTATGCCTTTCAGAATAAAATGGAAATCTTCATCTCGATGTACCCGGGATAAATAATTGATGAACAAATTATCCCCACAGACATCGTCATATGGCGACGGAGCTGGTAGTTTGCCATGGCGCTGCAGTTCCAATTGTTGTTGCTGTTGAACAATCATATCATGATCCAATGTTACAATCAATATTTGCAAACAAGCCTCCACCAGGGCCTCGGTGGTATCCGTGAACAATAGATGATTATAGGGTACCCCAAAGCCAACGGGATCATAAGCACAGACCGTGTTCAAGAAAGATGTAAACAAAGGCAGGGCATGACGATTATCGGCCGATGTAAAGTAGGCAATCCATTTATTGGGCTCCTCTGTGGGTGTGGGAGCCCTGTACATTGGTTCCGAGAAACATGTCAGCAATAATTTCAACAATTCCGTGCGTCTCTTTTCCATGTTGGCATTCTTAGGTGGGGAATGAGCAAAACCCACACCCGCTTCCCAAATATATTCACAGCTATCGATATTGGCCAATTCCTCAGCCTTCTCGGGACCTGGCCGCCTAGTGGCTGCTGTTACTGTGAAATCGGGACAGAAAAGCAAATCACACACAGCATTCAGCAGAGACTGGGCTAAGGGTACAGTTTGCTGATGATATGCCAACGGTTCAGTCTCACCACCCACCCTTGCCACATCCTGGCCAGACTCTTTACCACCACCCGCTGCTGGCAAACTACTCCAAAAGAAATGACGCCACTTATCATCCTCGAAGATGTATGGAATAATGCGTATTAACAGACGAACACAGTTCATGACACACGACTGTTCGGCCTGTGTGCGACAGCTGTTGTCGACTGCCTTCGCCAGTTTTTCCACTGCCTTATAGCAGAGAGTCGCCAAATTGGCAGGATTATCATTGCGTATATTTCGTATCTCCGCCGCAGTTACCAAAGCAAATACATCCTCCAAAGTGGTTTGATGGCCACTCCAAAACTGTTCCCAAAATGGGTCGTCAGCATCGATCTTTTGATTTTTCTGTGTGAGTTGTACAATGGATTTGCGAAAGTTCAACTTTGAATCACTGTTTCCCATATTGGATCAATGTAAGGTGGTTTTGTCACACAAAACGGTATGGAATTTGGTGTTGCTGCCAACACACAACGGAATAGTCCAATATTATTTCACTTTAGCACACAAATCTTTGTAATTTATTCCACAATTTATGATTTTTTGCAATTCCAATTGGAAAGAAAACCAACCAAAACACGTACTCTGAAAATTTTTTATTTTCTCTGAGACAGAGCTACCGTATGAGAGTGACACTTGGCAAAAAATTGGTTTGACAATTGATTTCTTACGATATGGTAACATTGCAAAGGGTATTATAGTAAAGGTGGCCTGGTGATATAATAAACATGGAAATGACATGAAATGGAAGAAATGCTTTGTTTCTTTTCCTTTAAAAATTGTAAAGGTTGTGAAGTGTAAATCAGATTTCCATTTGAATTGTACTGCTATTTTGTGTAAGGGAACATATTTCGGTTAAAAAGCTGCAAATGTTCAACACTTTAACATATAAATGAGCTTACATATTACGATACATAACGACCCTAAATAATTACAAATCACCAAAATAGCAAAATGTAAGGTTTCTAATCAAATATTTTTAATTAAAACATGAGTACCAATTAATACTCATAAGAAAAAGATAAACCCCAAATAAAAGTAGATCTTCTTCCAGCTCGGAACTATACATTATTTTTTTTGCAAAAGGGAAAGAATACTTACAATACTCAGTAGCATTTTCACCACAAAAGTTTTGCTTTTTATGCCCTCCACATTGAAAAGGAGGTTATTCCGTTTGTAACATTTCTAAATATTCGTCGTAGACCCCGTAAAGTATATATATTCATGATCAACATGATCGTCTGTCTGTCTGTTGAAATCACGATATAGCCCACATTATATTATCAAAGTTTTGGCAGAACAATTTGTTTTGTGTATAGGATGATTGGTATTGAAAATGAGATATATCGGTTTACGTTTTGGTATAACGGTACCTCCCGATAATCCGTATTTTGATTATTTGCGCCATATTTTTCACGGATTTGTCTAAAAATTAGAATTTGGAAGTCATAAAAGGTTCTAGCTTCGGTGGCGAAAGATTGTATGTAAAGGTCTAAGTTTTCGTATAGTCCCATATAACGGTTAATCCCGATATTCGGTATTTTGATGATTTTCGTCACATTTTTCCACGGATTTGTCTAAAAATTAGTATTTGTAGGTCATAATGAGTTCTAGCTCCGGTGGCGAAACATTAGATGTATAGGTCGACGTTTTTGTATAGTCCCCACATAACGGTACCTCCCGATATTCGGTATTTTTATGATTTTTACCACATTTTCCACGGATTTGTCTAAAAATTGATATTTGTAGTTCAAAATGGGTTCTATCTCAGGTTGCAGAACATTGAATATTTAGGTCCACGTTTTCCTATTGTGCACATATAACGATACCCACCGATATTCAGTATTTTGATAATCCTAGTCACATTTACCCACGAAACTGTTTCAAATTTGGTATTTAAGAAGATTTGGTGGATGACAATCCTTAAAGTACAAACTTGTCTATAGAGGTTCCCGATTTGGTGTGGCCTCCATATGACGGGTTCCCTCACATTATGTTTTTCTTTTTTTTTTTTTGAAAAGTTTAACAGCATTATTTAAACGGAAGACCCAAATCCTCCTAATGTTATATGTACACACAAGGCTAAACCGCTAGATGTTTCAAAAATCATATTATAATTATTTAAGGTTGCTATTATAAAGTTGCTGCGAATGCAGACTTTTTATTCAATGTGATATAAGTGTCCATTTTTTTACTAAGAAATATTAATTCTCAATAAAGTTTAATAAAATCAAAAAAAGAAGAAAACAATTTCTTGAAAAACTTGCTCTCAAACCCGGACTATACTTTACTTCTTTTTTTTATTAGATTCAAGGCAATAAAGATAAAAACATTTACTAAAAAAAACTTTTCAACACCTTGTTTGACTTTGTTTACATTCCTTCAAGTGACAACAACAAACTCTCAAATGGTTGTTTCCATTTGTTGTACGACATCAATTTCTTTTGCCTTATATTCGTGTATAATAAGCAGAAATAAATTGGTGGCTCTTTAATACCTTTTTAGTGTGCCATGATCCCTCCAATTTTCTTTATTTCTTACCATGTGAACCGCCTTAATAATCTCTCTACCACATCCTCTCAGCCAGGCTTTAGATCATATGGCATTCTAATTTGAAAATCCAATGAAAACAAAGCAATTGTTGCCATATCGCATTCAAATCACTGTCAGTTCTGACAGTTTGAAAACGTCATCAACTTAAGCTAGAAAATTAGATTTTTTGTCGTGGTTGTGGTTGCGTGTATAGTAATGTTGCAGAAAAATTTACAAATTTGTTGAAAACTCAACAATTAAAATGTGAATAGAAAACGGAAGAGAATTCTTGCCTACCTGTACATAGTATTATTGATGAGAAATTGTTGTTAAAAAAAGACGTTCAACGAAAAAGAAGTAGCCAGCCTGTCAGCAGTCGCTCGCACTACACCCTCAATCGATTTTGAGGAAAAGTTTTTTTCTTGTTTTTCTTTTGTGTGTGAAAAGTTGGAAAATTTCTCATATTTTGTGGTGGAAGAAAAACTAATCTAAAATGTCACTGCCGGGAAATGGCATATTTGTGGTCCGTGGCGAAATGTCCACATTGATGACGGCAATGCGCAGGGGTTCCCGTTGGAATGCCTCTGCAGCATACGTGGTAAGTCAAATGTATAAAAGCAAACGACAGACGGGCCGACAGACGATCACATATGGATGGACGTGTATGTATGTGGTTGGTCAGATGGATACGGCAAATGAGCAAATGATGTGCGTGTGCATATTTGTTTGTAAATACATGACCATTGTTTGTTTTTGTTGTATATATGAATGAATGGATGTTTTGGCTAATGATGCTGCCTTTATTTTTGTTTCGTAGGATGAGGAAAAGGATGGGCTGATGAAATTGTTCATGGATCTTAAACAGGTTCTAAATCGTATTGAAGATTTGCGGCTAATAGATCCAAATGTTTTCTTGGCACCATTCTTGGAGGTTATACGCACCGAGGAGACCACAGGAGCTGTGACAAGTTTGGCATTGTCAGCCATCAATAAATTTTTATCCTACGGTTTGATTGGTGAGTTACATTTTTTGTCAAAAAAGAGATAATGTTCCCTCTTAAACCAGTCAATTTTCTTTCAGATCCCACCTGTCCCAATTTAGCTGTGACCATAGAAAATATAGCTGATGCAGTTACTCATGCCCGTTTCATGGGCACCGACCAATCATCGGATGGTGTTACCCTGTTCCGTGTCGTGGAAGTTTTACACACATTAATGCGCAGTCCCGAGGGTTCCATGCTCACCAATGAATCTGTGTGTGAAGTAATGCTGAGTTGTTTTAAAATATGCTTTGAACCTCGCTTGAATGAGTTGCTGCGCCGTTCTGCCGAACAGGCCTTGAAGGATATGGTGCTTTTGTTGTTCATGCGCTTGCCACAGTTTGCCGACGATCGCACTGAGTCGGGTATGCTGAAAAAGTTCCAAATGATGGCCGCTTCCATGGAAAATGATAAGAAGCAACGTAAACGTTCATCGAAAGTTGCGGCGAGCCAAGAGAACTTGGCACGCAGCCAAAGCTACAAGGAGTCAGATTTATCCAAAGTGGGTGCAGATGAGCAAAGGAAAATCTCTACACAATCGGCTCCGGGTGATGAGGTGCAACAGCAAAATTCCACAACACCAGGGCATTTGCATCAATTGAAAGCTCCTCCATTGGCCACAACACCTGCCACACCAGCTGGTAACATTGTGGATTTGCAGGGTAAAATAACCCAAACCCCTACATCAGCTATTACCAGCGATGGTGGCCAGGGAGACACGGAGACAAATGAAAGCATTCCAACGACAACAACGAATAGTGAGCAAAATGCTCCCTCTATATCGGTGGAACCAGCCTCACCACCCACAAACACCAATCAAGAGGAAAATTCTGAAGCCAGACCACAATCGCCTCTATCCCAAGGAGGCAGTAGTGAATATATTAACTCTGTGGGAGTGCGTTTTACCCAACAAAATTCTGTAGATGTTTCCGAAGGCATGGCCCCCCTGGTTCCCTATGGTTTGCCCTGCATTCAAGAACTATTTCGCTTCTTGATATTGCTGTGCAATCCATTGGACAAACAAAATACCGACACCATGATGCACATGGGTTTGAGTTTGCTTACCGTGGCATTTGAAGTGGGAGCCGACAATATGCTCAAGTACGACTCATTGCTGCAACTGGTCAAGGATGATTTATGTCGCAATCTCTTTGCGGTAGGTATACCCAAAAAAATATGTTTTTATTTATTATCACTGATGACTGACATTAATTTCAGCTAATGAATTCTGAACGTTTGACCATATTTGCTGCCGATTTGCAAGTCTGTTTCCTAATGTTTGAATCAATGAGAGGTCATTTGAAATTCCAACTGGAAAGCTACCTCAGAAAGTTGTCGGAAATTATTGCCAGCGATAATCCAAAAACCCCATATGAAATGCGTGAACTGGCTTTGGACAATTTGTTGCAGTTGTGGCGTATTCCAAACTTTGTCACGGAGATTTATATTAACTACGACTGTGATCTGTATTGCAGTGATTTGTTTGAAAATCTAACAAATCTGTTGTCGAAATATACCTTATCGGCCACAAATGCCATTTATAATACCCATATATTGGCAATGGACACCCTGATATCGGTGGTGGATAATATAGAAAGTAATTGTGTGGCGGCCAAAAATGGCTGTGGCACACAGGGTGATAATACGACATCTGGAGTTGTATCGCAGCCATCTTCCTCGCTACGTCATTCACGACAAAATTCCGGCTTAGAGGGTATTGTCATTGATGATCCCAAGGCCACGGAGGACAGTGTTGTGGAAAATATATCCAAATTTATAAACACCTCATCACGTTTACGCTCTCTGTCCGGTGATACTGCTGCCAAAAAGGCCATAACTGGCGAATATTTGAAGGAAGTAAAACACAAAAAACGAGTCTTGAGCCAGGGAACTGAATTGTTTAATCAACGACCCGATAAGGGTATACAATTTCTACAAGAAAATGGTATTTTAAATCCCGAACTCGATCCCAGGGAAATTGCCTCCTTTTTGCGTGAAAATCCCGGCTTGGATAAGAAAATGATTGGCGAATACATTTCGAAAAAGAAAAAC